CATCAGCAGATGTCACTAAGTGCTATACAGAAAACCAAGCCTAAAACCCTAAACAGCAAGCAATGCAGATGTAGAAGCACGGTGGCTAGGAAAAACTTCCTAGAAAAGGCAGAAACCTAGGAAGAAACCTAGAGAGGAACCAGGCTCTGAGGGGTGACCAGTCCCCTTCTGGCTGTGCCAGGTGGAAATTATAACAGTACATGGCCATTAAGGCCAGATTTTTCTCCAAGATGTTCAAACATTCATAGATGACCAGCAGGGTCAAATAATAATCACAGTGGTTGTAGAGGTTGCAACAGGTCAATACATCAGGAGTAAATGTCACTTGGCTTTTCATAACCGGGCATTTAGAGGTTGAAATAGCAGGTGCAGTAGAGCGAGAGAGTTGAAAACAGCAGGTTTGGGACAAGGTAGCACGTCCAGTGAACAGGTCAGGGATCCATAGCCGCAGGCAGAAGAGTTGAAACTGGAGTAGAAGGACGACCAGGTGGACTGGGGACAGCAAGGAGTCATCAGGTCAGGTAGTCCTGAGGCATGGTCCTAGGGCTCAGGTCCTCTGGGAGGGGAGGGAGAGAGAGAGAATTAGAGGGAGCATACTTAAATTCACACAGGACAACAGATAAGACAGGAGAATAACACCAGATATAACAGACTGACCGTAGCCCCATGGCACATAGACTATTGCAGCATAGATACTGGAGGCTGAGACGGGACGGGGGGGGGGGGGGGGTATAACCCCACCAGGTAGGATATAACCCCACCCACTTTGCCAAAGCACAGCCCCCACACCAGAGGGTTATCAACACACCACCAACCTACTACCCTGAGACAAGGCTGATTATAGCCCACGAAGATCTCCACCACTGCACGAGCCCGAGGGGGCGACAAACCGGACAGGAAGATCACGTCAGTGACTCAACCCACTCAAGTGACGCACCCCTCCTAGGGACGGCATGGAAAGCACCAGTAAGCCAGTTACTCAGCCCCTGTAATAGGGTCAGAGGCAGAGAATCCCAATGGAGAGACAAGAACCGGCCAGGCAGAGACCGCAAGGGCGGTTTGTCGCTCCAGTGCCTTCCGTTCACCTTCGCACCCCTGGGCCAGACTACACTCAATCATAGGACGTACTGAAGAGATTAGTCTTCAGTAAAGACTTAAAGGTCGAGACCGAGTCTGTCTTTCACATGGATAGGCAGACCATTTCATAAAAATTGAGCTCTATAGGAGAAAGCCCTGCCTCCATCTGTTTGTTTAGAAATTCTAGGGACAATAAGGAGGCCTGCATCTTGTGACCATAGCGTACGTGTAGGTATGTAAGGCAGGACCAAATCGGAGAGATAGGTAGGAGCAAGCCCATGTAGAGCTTTGTAGGTTAGCAGTAAAACCTTGAAATCAGCCCTAGCCTTAACAGAAAGCCAGTGTAGAGAGGCTAGCACTGGATTAATATTGGTGTTCTTTAGTAGTGGTTTCTTTACAGCAATTCGACCATGAAGGCCTGATTCACACAGTCTCCTCTGAACAGTTGATGTTGAGATTTGTCTGTTACTTGAACTCTGTGAAGCACTTATTTGGGCTGCAATTTCTGAGGCTGGTAACTCTAATGAACTTATCCTCTGCAGCAGAGGTAACTCTGGGTCTTCCATTCCTGTGGCGGTCCTCATGAGAGCCAGTTTCATCATAGCGCTTGATGGTTTTTGTTTCTTGAAATATTATATTATATATACAGTCATATTGACTGACATTCATGTCTTAAAGTAATGATGGACTGTCATTTCTCTTTACTTATTTGAGCTGTTCTTGCCATAATATGGACTTGGTCTTTTACCATATAGGGCTATCTTCTGTATACCACCCCCTACCTTGTCACAACACAACTGATTGGCTCAAATGCATTAAGGAAAGAAATTCCACAAATTGACTTTTAACAAGGCACACCTGTTAATTGAAATGCATTCCAGGTGACTACCTCATGAAGCTGGTTGAGAGAATGCCAAGAGTGTGCAAAGCAGTCATCAAGGCAAAGGGTGGCTATTTGAAGAATCTCAAATATAAAATATATTTTGATTTGTTTAACACTTTTTTGGTTACTACATGATTCCATATGTGATATTTCATAGTTTTGATGTCTTCACTATTATTCTAGAATGTATAAAATAGTAAAAATAAAGAAAAACCTTTGAATGAGTAGGTGTTCTAAAACTTTTGACCGGTAGTGTACACTTAAAAAGATATAGATGTGTTAACTCCTGGGGTTACTATCAAAGCTTTAGCTCAGTGGGCTAGGCAAAAGTACCCGACTAGATGTTCATTACTTCTCTCTCTAGTCGGAACGGTGCTATGACAGAATGTGGATACCGCGGAGCCGGCGTGAGATATGGCTTGAAAAACGTACTTCAATACAGGGATGGGAGACGGCGCTGTACTCGTAATTATCCCATAATGAGATAAATGATGAATCGAGAAGATTTAAATACTTTTATTAAACTGCCATTTTCGTCAGCATGCTAGACTAGCTAATGCTAAAGTAACCCATTGTGTTCCATGAAAATGCAACGCCTAGTGTTGGGGTGAGTAGCTACCGATAGTGTTGTCAAATTCAATGGGTTGCTTTAACATTAGCTAACCTAGCATTAGCTAGCCTCAGTTTACCCTCTCCAATTCTTACCCTTTCCTATACAGGAGAAGATACCAATCTGACCTGAGATGCATGGGCAACGTCATCCTACTCTCGCAAAAATGCCTGATGATCCATTTGTTTTTCCACCAGTCATTTTTCCCATAGGGGATTTTAGAAACACTTTAAAAAAGGGCTGTGTTTCATGTAGGCTTACCCTGGCGTGACATTTTAATAACCATGTAAATCTCTCTCGGACAAGGTGTCTTATCAATATATTTGGCTCTATTTACTCTCAGATTCAAAAATGCTAATTAGCAGCAAAGCAAACTACAAATCCCTGCAAGCTCCTGCACGTCATCTCTAGCTGACACCTTTGCTAATAGGTATTGTATCAATTTAAAACTTGCCCAGGACAGTTCACAGATTTTTACCTTTACCCCGATTCGACAGTCTCGTCCAGATCATCATGGCATTTGTAATTCTTTACGATAACTACATTAGCATTTCATTTTGCGGGGTGAATACAGGTGAATGTTGATAAAAGTGACCTTGTCTATAGAGATTTACACGGTTATCAAATGTCATGCCAGGGTAAGCCTACACGAAACACAGCCCTAATTTTAAGTGTTTCTAAAAAAAATCTATGGGAAAAATGAATGGTGGAAAAACGATTAGAACCATTTCCCTGTTTGACCGCTAGGTTTTATGGGTATTATGACTCATACTGTGGTACTCGGTGGCAAGAGACAGGTAATTTAATAGCAACCAAGGCTGCGTTTAAACAGGAAGCCCAATTCTGATCTTTTGCGAATAATTTGTCATTTGACCAATCAGATCTGATTTTTTGCCAATAATTGGGCAAAAGATCAGAATTGGTCTGCCTGTGTAAACGCAGCCTTGGATGCTGTAGGTTATCAACACCTTACCTGGCTGAAAATCAGCACCCTATAGATGTGAGTGTTAGTATGTCAGAGCTCCATATTATCCATGTGACCAAATAATGTACAAAAAGTAAAATGCAAAAGGCATACGGAACATGGACTTTATAACTGTGACCTAAATATACATATTCTAACAACACAATAAACCCAAAAATCATATCATATTGTACCATTTCATCTGAATGGCAAGAGACAGGTAACTGAATTGCAACTTGAATGTTGTATGAAAATCTTACCTGGCAGAAGATCAGCATCCTCTGCAGATGTGTGTTGGTTGGTATGACACAGCTACATATTATCCAATAGGAGTGCCCTTAGGTGGTGAAACCCACAGCTACATATTATAAATAATTATATAATATAATATATTATCCAATAGAAGGAGAGCCCTCTGGTGATGAAACCCACAGCTACATATTATCCAATAGAAGGAGTGCCCTCTGGTGGTGAAACCCTCTGAAACAGAGACAAAAATTATAATAATAATATAATAATATGCCATTTAGCACATGCCACCAAGACATGTTGCATTAATTATTTATAGGCTATTTCACTTTCTCCAAGACAACCCCTAGTCCTGACCTTAGCTATGTTGTATGCAGGCTTTTGGGTGAAGCCCAGCACTAACACAACTGACACAATATCAAGGTCTTGATGAATCAGCTGCTAGTCCTGGACTGGAGCAGAAATCCAGACTTTATTTTATCCTCTCCTAGGACACTATAGCTGCGCTTAGACAGGCAGCCCAATTCTGATCTTTTTTTCCACTAATTGGTCTTTTGACCAATCACATCAGATCTTGTCACATACTTTTCCAGAGCTGATCTGATTGGTTAAATGACCAATTAGTGAAAAAAATATCAGAATTGGGCTGCCTGTGTAAACGCAGCCATAGGCCTTCCAGCATGACTCGCAAATTTACTAATTTCTCCTGTATCAAAGTCCCATTTATTGTGATGGGACTACAATTCTGATCTTTTTTTCAGTTAATGGTATTTTAACCAAGCAGATCAGCTCTTAAAACGATCTGATGTGATTGGTCAATTAGTGTAAAAAATATCAGAATGTCATTTCTTCTGTACCAAAGTCCTTATGAAACCAATGATAGAGGTCTGTTATAGAGTAATGGAAGTCCTTATGAAACCAATGATAGAGGTCTGTTATAGAGTAATGGAAGTTCTTAGCGCTCCATACCAAAATGTTAGTATAGATCTTAACTCCAACAATCCTTCCCATTACAGAGTTAAGAAGCTTATGACACCTCCATGATATGCTAAACCTCATCTGTCCAAAAGGCTTTCAGGACTATTCATTTATCATAAAACTGAGGGATGGATCTGAAGGGGGTATACTAGAAGAATTAAGAGAACCCAATAACAGGTGGTGCATGCTTTTGATTGCTAGTCATCATGATCATGCTAAAAGTCATAAAAGCAAGATACGATTTGAAACATGTTTATTTTAATAGATATTTTTTGGGGAACAACCAAGGATGTAAAAAAGAAAACCAACAGCGAAAGTGGTGTGCCTTTCACTTCTCTTTTTTCTTTCTTTAAAAAAATAGTCTGCCTTTTCCCCCTTGTTCACAAACTGTTTCAAAACCGGGAAAAAAACAAAGAATAAAAAATAAAACAAAACCGAGACGCTTGGAAGGCCATTACATTTCTTGACAATTATAAATATAGTGGTCGGAACAGGGGTCTGAAACAGCTTACATGTAAAGAGCGTACGGTTACGACAGTATCGACACTCGGCCCTGCCTGTATCAAGTTTATTTGTAAAAAACCAGGATCTTTCTGACTATTATCAATTCAAAGAGTTTGACAAGTAAATATGTACATTCAGCCAGCTCTACCAGTCTCAGTGTGGCGTGTCCGTTAACCCCTCTGTAATCATGATTGTCTGTTCAGGGGGAGTAGTTGTGTGAGTATGTGTAATCTGAGTAGTAATCTTGTCCCTCTTCCCTCCCCTTCGGGTAACCCCAGGAGGGTCCGCAGGGTCCACCTCCATCCGGCCGCTCGGGTCCTCCTCCCGGCCTTGGCCAGAGACCTCCCTGTGGGGCTCCTCTCCCTCGGTACCCCCCTAATGACCCGGGACCCATACCCCCGCGACCCATACCCATCTGTCCAGGCATGGCACCTAAACAGCCGTAGCCACCACCGCTGAGTGGATGGACACTGGCCTCGACGCCTCGACTACCTCCAGTCCCTCCATGGATGGGCAGCATGGGCCTAGCTATAGAGCCCCCCCTGGTGGCCACAGAGGGAACAGCCATGCCCGCTCCAAGGCTTTCTACACTGTTCACTGGAGTCCTTCCCCCCTGACTTCCAGGGGTACTGCCACCAGGAGTGCCTGTCCTCTCCCTCTCCCCACCTTGGGTGAGACCGCTGTGGGAGACCGAGCCAGGCGTGGCCCCTCCCTGGCTGTTAGGGGTTCCTCCTCCTAACCCCCATAGGCTCTCCCCGGGCCCACTGAGTCTCCTGTCCCCCTGCTGGGTGGGGGTCCCATTAGCGCTGGAGCTGACCCCTGCCGGGTAGCCAAGCTGGGCCATGTCGCTCTGAGTATAGCCCAGGCCTAAGGAGGCTGTGGTGGCAACAGCAGGGTCAGAGTATGTTAGTGCAGTGGAGAGAGAAGAGGAAGAGGCCCCTATGGCTGTGCTGGGCAGAGTGCTAGTGCTGCTGACTGTAGAGAAGGATGCTCCAACAGCAACCCCGGCTGCTCCACTAACAGAGCTAGAGCCAGGCAGGCTAAACGACTGGGACAGAGTCCCACCCATCATGAGATGTGGAGGAGGCGGGGGAGGCTGGGGGATGTCCAGTAGGGTGAGGGGGGCCTGGCTGGTCAGAGGCCCTGTGGTGAGAGTGGAGCCTGGGGCTGTAGTAGGTACTGCGGCTGGGTTTCTGTAGTCCTGTTCCTGGGTGCTGCTGCAGGGCGAGGCGGGATAGGCTGGGGAAGCCGTGTAGCCGGAGGAGCCAGAGTAGGACACCCACTGGGTGGACGGACACAGGAAGCTCTGGTGGGGGTTGACAGAAAACCCTCCTGGCGAAGTGCTGCCTATGTCCGCCCTACCAACCTGGTTGGAGGCTTTGAACTGGGAGATGGCTGATTTGAGAGCAGCGAAGTTGGAAAGGTTGGGGGTGCTGCTGGAGTAGGAGAGGGAGGAGGGGGTGTGTCGGCCAGAGGTGTTGAGCTGGTCGGGGAGAGGGGGTCGGAACTCGTCTGACTCGGGTAAGGGGGGCTGCTGGGTCGGGTCCCCCGTGCCCCCCCCTCCTGCTCCCCCCTCCTGGGTTTGGGCAGGATGCTCGACGATCACCTGGTTGTGGCTGTCGTCATCAGAGTCCAGCGACATATCTTCCTCTTCTATACACTCATCATGCTCTACTGAGAGAGGAGTAGAGGGGGAGAGAGGAGTAGAGGGGAAGAGAGGAGTAGAGGGGAAGAGAGGAGTAGAGAGGAGAAGAGGGGAGGAGAGGAGTAGAGGGAAAGAGAGGAGTAGAGGGAGAGGGAAGAGGGAAAGAGGGGGAGAGGAATATAGGGGGAGAGAGGAGTAGAGAGGAAGAAGTAGAGAGGAGTAGAGAGTAGAGGAGAGAGAGAAGGAGTAGAGGGAAAAGAGAGTATAAGGAGGTAGAGGGGGGTAGGGGGGAGAGAGAGTAAGAGTGAGAGGAAAAGAGAGGAGTAGAGGATAGAGAGAGAGAGGAGTAGAGAGGAGTAGAAATAGGGGGAGAGAGAGAATAGGAGTTGAGGAGTAGATAAGAAGAGAGGTAGTGGTTGATAGGAGAAGAGAGGAGTAGAGAGGAAGAGAGGTAGTAGCGAGGGAGCGAGGGTAAGCGAGGAGTCGAGGAGTAGAGAGAGGAGAGTAGGAGGAGGTAGGGGTAGAGGGAAGCAGAGGAGCTAGAGAGCGGAGAGAGTGAGTAGAGGGAAGAGCAGGAGTAGGCGGAGAAGGCGGAGTAGGGGGGAGAGAGGGCTAGGGGGGATAGAGAGGGTGAGGGGAGCGCAGGCGTAGAGAAGAGGAGTAGAGGGGAGGAGGGTAGAGGGGAGAGAGGAGTAGACGAGTAAGGACTGAGGGTGAGGGTAGAGGGTGAGAGTGGAATAGAGGGGGAGAGAGGAATAGAGGAAGAGAGGAGTAGAGGGGAGTAGAGGGGAAGAGAGGAGTAGAGGGGAAGAGGGGGAGAGGAATATTAGGGGAGAGAGGAGTAGAGAGGGAGATAGGAAGAAGTACAGAGGAGTAGAGGGGGAGAGAGGAGTAGAGACAGAAGAGCGTAGTTAGAAGAGAGGAGTAGAGAAGAAGAGGGAGTAGAGAAGAGGAGTGGTGAAAGAGAGGAGTAGAGAAGAAGAGAGGAGTAGGGAAGAGAGGAGTAGAGAAGAAGAGAGGAGTAGAGAAGAAGAGAGGAGTAGAGAAGAAGAGAGGAGTAGAGAAGAAGAGAGGAGTAGAGAAGAAGAGAGGAAGAAAAAGAAAGGACAGGGAAAAGGTTATTGATTTATTCCAAACAGAAAATTTGATAAAAAATTTGGACTTTACTTAAAGGAATGAGATGCAATTCATAGTACTTGAACAGGGCCAAAGATCAATGTAATTGTAAAGTTGTTGTTGACATCACCCACCAGTAGAGGGCGGTGTGGCCAGCTCTTTCTGATCTCTGGAGCCAATCAGGTTGTGGAAACTGGTCATGATGTCATCAATGCTGGCGATCACTATGCCGTTCCTGGAGTACTGCATGAACATCTCAAAGCGCCTCTCTGGAGGGACAAACAACAAGAGAGGGGTGTTCAATTAATACACATACCAGTACATAATGTTCCACAAAGGGTCAGGAGATGATGATGATGAGTCACGATAATGATGATGATGGTGGTGGTACCTGTGAGGAAGATAAAGTGGCGGTGCTGGGTGTGGTTAGCCTGGAGCTTGACCAGGCAGTCCAGATCAGGGGCCTGACGTGATTGGGCGTCACACTCGTGATAAGGCAGGAACTCCACCAGGTGCTTCTTCTGATAGGCTGTCAGCAGGTTGAGGAGAGCCATGGCATCACCATTCAACCTATGAGAGGAGAGAGGAGGTGGGGCTGTCTGTAACTAAAATAGTCTGAATACGTAAGACAAAAAGCAAACAAAAATATTGGATGAAAGCATGATAATGTGATGATAATGTGTGTATTATTGTTTTTCAGCCTTTTAAAACAGTCACAACTACTACTACTACTACTAATAACTACTACTACTACTACTTCGGACCTCGAAGAGAGGTTCTGGATTGATTGAAAGACTTGGCAGTACTATAGGATGGAGGTAGTTACTGAATGGATTGAGAGCGGTCTATGTCTCGGGTCATGCTGAATGGTAGTAGTTACTGACCTGCCCAGCTCTTTGAGTTTCTTCTGGGACTTGTTGTGGATCTTCCACTGCCAGGGGTTCTCTGGAGAGCTCTGCTCCTCTAGGAACCGCAGGAACGCCTGCAACCGGTCTGCCCAGGGAACACAATAACACAACACATTACCAGTCTACACAGGGAACACAACACAACACACACACACACACTGATCCCATTAAATCAATGCCCTGTCATGAGTTCAGTCTTTTCCCTTTTCATCTGTAGTCAATATATGACCACTTTGCTAACCAGAATGTAATGACACAGCTACATGGTACATAAAACAATGATTGAATTGCAATAAAAAAAAATAAAAAAAATGTCCAAATACTGTTTCTAATGACCATATAATATAGATGCATCTCATTAACAAACAAAATCCCCAGTGGCATTTATCCAACTTCATAGAAAGAAAACGTGACCCAAAAAAAAGCATAACTCTTAATATTCACATGTGGATCCCACACATCACAATGAATGTTGATGACAGCTTCAGCAGACTCACCGTGTGTTATGAAGTCTGGGTTGAGGACAAACTCATCAGACACGATGAATCCTCCGGAGACGAAGAGCTCGTTGTAGGTGTGGTTCTTCACATCGTCCAGACTGTCCACTCCCGCAAAGCTCACCGTGGACAGCTTCTTCAACGACACCAGGGCTGGGATCTGACAGGGGGAACATGGTTCAGAATCTACCTTTAAATTCATGCTTCACATCGAAATTAACATTTGTGTGAGAAAGAAGTGATGACTGTCGAGACAATTTGCAGTGATGATCATGTCTTCCAGCTCTGTCTATATATTCAATGAATGACCCGTTTACACTATATATACAAAAGTAAGTGGACACCCCTTCAAATTAGTGGAATCGGCTATTTCAGCCACACCCGTTGCTGACAGGTGTACAAAATCGAGCACACAGAAATTTGACTTTCAACGTGGCACCGTCATAGGATGCCACCTTTCCAACAAGTTAGTTTGTCAAATTGCCCTGCTAGAGCTGCCCAGGTCAACTGGAAGTGTTGTTATTGTGAAGTGGAAATCTAGTCTAGGCGCAACAACGGCTCAGCCTCGAAGTGGTCGGCCACACAAACTCACAGAACGGGACTGCAGAGTGCTGAAGCACGTTGCAACACTCACTACAGAGTTCCAAAGTTCCTCTGGAAGCATCGTCAGCACAATAACTGTTTGTCACGATCTTCATGAAATGGGTTTCCATGGCTGAGCAGCCACATACAAGCCTAAGATCACCATGTGCAATGCCAAGCGTCGGCTGGAGCAGTGTAAAGCTCGCCGCAATTGGACTCTGGAGCAGTGGAAACACGTTCTCTGGAGTGATGAATCACGCTTCACCATCTGGCAGTCCGACGGACAAATCTGGGTTTGGCGGATGCCAGGAGAACGCTACCTACCCGAATGTATAGTGCCAACTGTAAAGTTTGGTAGAAGAGGAATAATGGTCCGAGGCTGTTTTTCATGGTTCGGGCTAGGACACTTAGTTCCAGTGAAGGGAAATCTTAACGCTACAGCATACAATGACATTCTAGGGATGTAGCTCAGTTGGTAGAGCATGGCGTTCGCAACGCCAGGGTTGTGGGTTCGATTCCCATGGGGGGCCAGTATGAAAAATAAAGAAATTATGTATGCACTCACTAACTGTAAGTCGCTCTGGATAAGAGCATCTGCTAAATGACTAAAATGTAAATGTAAAATGTAGACGATTCTGTGCTCCCAACTTTGTGGAAGGCCCTTTCCTGTTTCAGCATGACAATACCCCCGTGCACAAAGCAAGGTCCATACAGAAATGGTTTGTCGAGATCGGTGTGGAAGTACTTGACTGGCCTGCACAGAGCCCTGACCTCAACCCCATCTAACACCTTTGGGATGAATTGGAACGCAGACTGCCAGCCAGTCCTAATCGCCCAACATCAGTGCCCGACCTCACTAATGCTCGTGGCGGAATGGAAGCAAGTCCCCACAGCAATGTTCCAACATCTAGTGGAAAGCCTTCCCAGAAGAGTGGAGGCTGTTATAGCGTCAAAGGGGGACCACCTCCATATTAATGCCCATGATTTGGAATGAGATGTTCGACGAGCAGGTGTCCACATACACTACATGACCAAAAGTATCTTTGCGCCATCCAGGTTTTTGGTGGATTTAAAATCAATTCCACAGGTCCAATTAGAATTCCATTATTTCAGATCATTTCTTGGGGGCTGAGGATAATTCTCCCTGTGCAGACAACATTCTGTCTGGTGGCGTGACTCATCCTAGCAGCCAGCCAGTCAGCCAGCCAGGATGGCAATGATGTTACCTTGTTGACATGGGCTGAGATGTCTTCGTTCTGAATGACGATGAGCAGCTTATCCAGACTGCTGTTATTCTCCAGGAACATCTGGGGGTTACACTCTGTGTTGCCCAGGCTCAGCAAGTACTCCTGTCACAGGGAGGAGACAGAAAGAGGGAGTTTAAAACAGGAGCAGGAGACAGCAACACACCACAAAACCAAATTAACGAGGAGGGGATGAGGAAAAGAGGATAGTGGTGCAATATTGTACACTCTTATCTCAGTAGCGTACTACAATGTATTATGGCAGAGAATGCAGACAGCCATGAAGTGTTCTTGTTGCAGTAAAACAAGGAGAAGACAATTAAATGTGACTCTCCTCATCCTACAGAGGACAACGTCAGTTTAACATGATGTTTGCAGACCAACAACACGAGGGAACACTGAAAAGGTAAGCCAATGAGCGTCCCGTCACAGTGTAGATAATTACAGCGGATAATACAGTGCCTGTGTCAGAGAAAGCTTGGATAAAGGTATTGGTGAAGTGTTAGCTCAATCATCAGTGAGAATGAGTTTCTCTTCTTACGGGCAAACATTGACATGAGTGTTGATCATAACGGAGGCCTACAGTACCTTGATCTCCACACAGACGTCACTCTCCTCCTCCTCCTCTCCAGAGTGGATGTAGAATCTGACCGTGTTCCTCTGCACGTCCTTGAAGATCTCCACCAGGCTGCTGAACACCTCAGGCTTCAGCTGGCCCATCAGTAGTCCAGCAGCTGATGCCGGGGTCAGAGGAGAGGGGGCTATGATGGCAGCTTGTTTAGGCCGTTTTGGGGTGGAGTCTGAGGAGTCCATTGAGGCCTGGGAGGGGGAGTAGACCTCTCTCTTTGAGGCAGATGGTTCTGACTTCCTCTCAGTAGAGGGCTTCTGTGCTGCAGAGGGGTTCTTGTGTGTCTGTATGAATGGGTCCGGTTTGGGCCGGCTCTGGGAGGAAGAGGAGCTCTTAGCCTGAGGGGGCTGTGCTTTGGTTTTGGGGACAGGCTTGGGGGTCGGGGACGTGATGAGGATAGGGGCGGGAGAGTGGACGAGGGCAGGCGGGGGTGGAAGGTGATGGATCGAAGGAAGGTGAGGGATGGAGGTGAGAGAATGGGGTGGGGGAGGGAAAGAGGGAATAGGATGGGTGGGGTTGAGGGTGTGTGGAGGGGGTGGCACGGTGGCGGAGGGAGCATGGAGGGTAGAACGAGCCCCAGGTGCTTTAGCAGAGTCAGTGTGGCGAGGTTTGGGCACCAGTCGGCCCATTCTCTCACACAGGGTGTTGACGTGGCCCTGGACAGGGACAGACACGACATAGGGCGCCACAAAGTCTGAGAAGGAGCAGTTGGGCTGCCAGGTGTGGCGCGGGGACAGCCGTGAGGGCAGCTGGGAGTTGTAGTAGATCTTCTGGCTATCCATGAGGCCCTGGATGGAGTTGAAGAGGCAGTGGAGCTCCTGGCTTACGATGGTGTCCAGAGTGCTGGGTGGCCTGGCTACCCTCTCCCTCTCTAAGGAAGCCCCCTTGGCTACCCTATCTATTGAGGCTTCCTTGGTTACCCTCTCCCGCTCCAGGGAGGCACCTCTCGGACCTCTCTCACCCACCTCCAGAACTTTCCTCTGCTCGAGGTCGCCATCGTTCTGAGATTCAAAGAAGGGGATAGGTTTGTCTGTGTGAGAGGCCAGTTCCCAGGTGAGTGATGGGTTGTCTGAGGTGTGTGGTTGTTGTCCTGGAGAGTCGGGGCTGAAGGGGCTGGCCAGACTGCACGCCATCTGCTCCTAAACACACAACAACATGGTCAGTCACATCACTCCATCACAAACACCAGTCCATACTTAATTTTTTCTCCCACACACGTTTCTCACCTCCAAGAAGTCCTGTCGGGCCTGCTCCACTCGCCCTTCATTCGGCTTCTCCGCGCAGGCCGAGCCCATGGAGGGCTCCCCGTGTTCGGGCAGGTAGGAGGGGGCCGCGGCAGCGCCCTGAGCCATGGCCTTGTTGAGGGTGGAGAGCAGGATCTTGAGCAGGCGCTGTGTCTCGTTGGCTGAGGCAGCCTGGGAAGTGTTGCCCCTGTCCCTTAGGTCAGTGATCCCCATACTTTCCATTACTGCTGCCAGGTTGTAGTTCTCTCCCTCCCCCCCCTGGGCTACTGGGAGGACAGAGACCGTGGGGTTAAAAGGGATGTAGCCATGCTTACCATGCTTATAAGGTAGGCTTCTACAATATACACACACCGCAAGGTCAGAAAGGATATTATTTATGATAAAGACCTACATTTAAAATGTCAATATTCTCTCTTAGGTTGGCGTACGAATGTTAACTTACTCAGTCCATACTACTTCCTACCAAACTCTCTCCCTCCCACTTGTTCTTTCCCTTATTCTCCTTCTCTCCCCCACAGACTCGTGCCTCTCCCCCACAGACTCGCGCCACTCCACCACCATCTCTCATTCATTCTCCCATACAATCTTTTGCTCCCTCCCACACACAAACCAGTCTCACCTCTACTGGGCTCTCCGTTGCTGAAGTGGGCTCCCCGTAGGTATTTAGACATGGCCCCTGATTCGTCCTCCTCTAGCTTCCTCTTGAGGCCGTGGGGGCCCTCCCAGCCCCCGTCGTCACCGCCCTCGGCCCTCTCCTTCCCTCCTGGCTCCTTCACCAGGGCCTTATGCAGCTGGATCAGCTTCAGCAGCTCTTTCATCTTGTCCTTATCGTACTCACTCTGGGCCAGCCTTGACCTCTGGGCCGGGGCCCCTGTCCCTGCTGCGGCCCCGTTAGAATGGGTCTGGGACGGCCCCCCTCTCCTCCTGCTGCTCTCTGGTCTCTCTGGAGGTTGCCTCTCCACCCTCTCTGGTCTGTCTGACCCTCCTGAGCCCCCCCAGTCTGACACAGGGCTGTAATCCGGGATGGTTGGGGCCGGGGCAGGCGGAGGCTGGTTGATCCTGTCCATCATGTCCCTGGCCTTGACAATGGGGAGGACGTAGGCCGAGGAGAGGCCGTGGAGGTAGGAGCGCAGCAGGCCCTCCATGTTGGATTTGGGGCGGGGCGCGGGGTGCACGCTGCCCCTCTCGTCCAGGGTCTGTTGGTACTCTGGGAGGAGGAAGGCCCGGCCGCTGTCCCTCCTGGTCAGGTAGTCTAAGGCCTGGCGCTCCACCACGGTGCTGAGGTGCTTGTTATCGGGGGTGGAGCGCATCTTGAGCAGGGCATAGTGCAGGGCTGGGATGAAGGGGTCCATGGAGGCCAGGAGAGGGGGCAGGGGCTCAGCTGACAGGGGCTCCTGCTCTGACAGTCTGGGCGCTGGGGGAGGCAGGGACATGGTCAATGGGGGGGTAGCAGACATAAGTATACAGTGAGGGAAAAAAGTATTTAGTCAGCCACCAATTGTGCAAGTTCTCCCACTTAAAAAGATGAGAGAGGCCTGTAATTTTCATCATAGGTACACGTCAACTATGAGAGACAAAATGAGAAGAAATAAAATCCAGAAAATCACATTGTAGGATTTTTAATGAATTTATTTGCAAATTATGGTGGAAAATAAGTATTTGGTCAATAACAAAAGTTTCTCAATACTTTGTTATATACCCTTTGTTGGCAATGACACAGGTCAAACGTTTTCCGTAAGTCTTCACAAGGTTTTCACACACTGTTGCTGGTATTTTGGCCCATTCCTCCATGCAGATCTCCTCTAGAGCAGTGATGTTTTGGGGCTGTCGCTGGGCAACACAGACTTTCAACTCCCTCCAAAGATTTTCTATGGGGTTGAGATCTGGAGACTGGCTAGGCCACTCCAGGACCTTGAAATGCTTCTTACAAAGCCACTCCTTCGTTGCCCGGGCGGTGTGTTTGGGATCATTGTCATGCTGAAAGATCCAGCCACGTTTCATCTTCAATGCCCTTGCTGATGGAACGAGGTTTTCACTCAAAATCTTCACGATACATGGCCCCATTCATTCTTTCCTTTACACGGATCAGTCATCCTGGTACCTTTGCAGAAAAACAGCTTCACAGTAGGTATGGTGTTCTTTGGATGCAACTCAGCATTCTTTGTCCTCCAAACACGACGAGTTGAGTTTTTACCAAAAAGTTATATTTTCGTTTCATCTGACCATATGACATTCTCCCAATCCTCTTCTGGATTCATCCAAATGGACTCTAGCAAACTTCAGACGGGCCTGGACATGTACTGGCTTAAGCAGGGGGACACGTCTGGCACTGCAGGATTTGAGTCCCTGGTGGCGTAGTGTATTACTGATGGTAGGCTTTGTTACTTTGGTCCCAGCTCTCTGCAGGTCATTCACTAGGTCCCCCCGTGTGGTTCTGGGATTTTTGCTCACCGTTCTTGTGATCATTTTGACCCCACGGGGGTGAGATCTTGCGTGGAGCCCCAGATCGAGGGAGATTATCAGTGGTCTTGTATGTCTTCCATTTCCTAATAATTGCTCCCACAGTTGATTTCTTCAAACAAAGCTGCTTACCTATTGCAGATTCAGTCTTCCCAGCCTGGTGCAGGTCTACAATTTTGTTTCTGGTGTCCTTTGACAGCTCTTTGGTCTTGGCCATAGTGGAGTTTGGAGTGTGACTGTTTGAGGTTGTGGACATGTTTGATAACAAGTTCAAACAGGTGCCATTAATACAGGTAACGAGTGGAGGACAGAGGAGCCTCTTAAAGAAGAAGTTACAGGTCTGTGAGAGCCAGAAATCTTGCTTGTTTGTAGGTGACCAAATACTTATTTTCCACCATAATTTGCAAATACATTCATTAAAAATCCTACAATGTGATTTTCTGGATTTCTTTTCCTCAATTTGTCTGTCATAGTTGACGTGTACCTATGATGAAAATTACAGGCCTCTCTCATCTTTTTAAGTGGGAGAACATGCACAATTGGTGGCTGACTAAATACTTTTTCCCCCACTGTACATACTGCTCATAAAGGCTGTTCCTGACATTCAATAGCTGTAACTGTGGTTTGAGGAAGGATCTTTTAGAATACTTACTGAACTTGGCGACTCCCCTGGACTCCTGAAAGACAAACAGTGCCTGCAGGCTCTTCTCAACCCTCCCCCGACGGTCTAGAATCCACCAAACACACAAGAACTCCCTCAGTATTAACCCACACAAAGAACAACATGTCAGATCAATGGAAAGAGTGAGAGACAGAGGACGTACCGTTGGGACTGACCATCTGAGCAGATGACAGGAGGAAGAGAAAACCTTTGTCAACTAAAGGCTTCACTAGCACCTACACAGGGGAGGAGGAGACATTGACATTCAATACATCTAAACAAACACTTTTCATACAGTGCAGCTGTGCAACAGCAGAAATTCACATTTAAAACAGGGACAATTATTTTCATATATGGCATGGGAACTCCCTGATTGGAGTTAGCTCTACCGTTTAAATAAATATGGAGAACAAATGACAACAACTCTTCATGACATGCCCATTTCTAGGGAACTGACCAGTTTAGCTGATCTACATATCAAATATTATGGGGGACCAAAGTAATGCAACCCATGTGAAAGCCTGGGTGTGTTGTATAATATAATGATCCATGCCACATCCCCCTCCCTAACCCTTCTAGTGTCGCTGTATAATCATTAAACAGTGTTCATTAAAACATCCTGCAGAGGGACAGTCAGGGAGTGACTCACCATCCTCTCTCTCTCCAGTTTATGTATGAGTCCTGAGAGAGTGCTGCTGCTCGCCTTGCCCTTCCAATCCACCACCTCAAACAGGCTGCAGTAGATCCCACACTTCAGCACTGAAACACACACACCTCGGTCAGAACAAGGTCGACTCCATAGTAAAAACATTTAAATCCAAAGTAAGAAAATAAAATATAAAAAAACACACCCAACACAGTGATTCCGGGTGATAGGTCCTACATTGTTGTTAGTCAGATTAAGTCAGCACCTCTTTAGCAATCGCAATTTTTGCCAACGTATTATGCAAGGGCTTGCAAATCTGACCAATCGCTGCACTATTACCGCATAAAACAGTCCAATCGTCACAACATTACCGCATATAATTGTCCAATCGCCACACTACAAAAAGAGGGTTCGCAATTTTAACCAATCACTGTACTTTTAATGCATAAAATGGCTCAATCAAGCAACATGTCAACAAGCTTTTTTCCTCATCAGCGCATGTGACAAATTGGACAAAATTATTGCAAATTGCCATGCAAAATGTCCAAATTGACACAGCAAAATCAAGCGAAATCCTGGAGGGACTGTTGTGTTGTTGTTCGGTTATTCTATAGCATCTATGGACTGTTGTCTTGGTCAGAGAATAGATGAATCAGACTAGGACTAAGGCTGGAGAGGAGAGTGGTTCGGACCTTCTCTGGTTCTGCTGTAGGTGTCCCAGGAGAACAGAACAGAGGGGATCTTCCTCTTCACCTGGTCCAGCTGCATCCCCATACTCATCTCCAACGTCTCCGTTCTGCAGAGGGGACACACACACACACCTCAATCAACTTATTACAGTACTCATAACATGCTTATTAACTATGAGTTACTACTGATATCCATGTTTCAGGTACGGATAACAAATACATGCGTTTTAGGTACGGATAACAAATACATGCGTTTCAGGTACGGATAACAAATACATGCGTTTTAGGTATGGACAATAGAGGTACTCACAGTTTGAAAGGGAGGAAGTGGCGTGTAAAGGAGAGCAGAGACACCTGGCACAACTCCTGTCCCTTGTTCACCAGCGGCCCACTCCACACAGTGTAGCTACTCATCCCTGACAGGCAAATCAAACTTTATTTAAAGTACATTCAAAACACTTTACAATTGCAATAGGAACACTGGCCCCAGTCAACAGTCACAGGTCAAATATGGGCACAGTATACCAAACTTCCAAGGTAGCTATCAAACTACATGCTACCAATACTTACGCCTCTATTTTTAATACAAATGTAAGAAGACTAAAGCAGAGAGATAAGGTAAAAAGGCAAAAATGGGAGCGTACCTTTGCTTCCTCCTTCACAGACAGTGCTGTTGAACCTGTGTGCAGCCATAGGTGCAGCAGCGGACTCCTTGCCTTTGTACTGGAAAGACACCACAGCGTATGGACACACATGCCTGGGCCGATGCTTGATCTCATCAAAAGCAAACTCATAGAAGTACTGCTGCGTGAGTTCAAAAGCCCTGTAGGACAGCAACGAGGTGACCCGCGTGGCGTTCTTGGAGACGTGACAGTCAAACTTGGGCGTGGGGTCCAGGACACTCTTAGGCATGTTCTCAAAGATGCTCTTCAGCCGGCCCTAAAGGGACAAACACACTCACTGGGTCAGAGATGATTAAAACTGGTGTTGCACTCAACATTGGTAATAATAGGCTGTTGCAAAGTAAGCAACTACTTTCTAGGTGTTCATAAGATATATATTGTTTCAGTTGTGTCCATAATGAGTGTGATAGATGTATTTACCCTCATGACTTTAAATATGACAATGTCTCCACAGGTGCCTGCTTCAAACGGGTTCATTTGAAGCAAATCAGAGAATTTGGACAGATAAACACCTGAAATGACAAAACAAAAGTCAAGTCAAGAAAAAACTAAGGAGGTAAAAACCATGCATAGACAACTAACTTTTGACATGAACAAAAATTGAAATGCTTACGTGTGGGTTAATAGTTGATGACAGAGGTTTGAGGGATGGTGATAAACATTTCCACAATACTCAGCTGTTGCTAGGCCATGCATTAGGTATCTTCTTATGTAACCGTATCTGGTAGACATGCTAAGCTGTCTGGCAGTGGATAAAGCTACTCTTACAGTAATGAGGCATACAGATGATCCTCTATTACAGAGATAGTCAATTAAACCTTAACGTTCAAAAGCAGATCCATTTCTAACTAGGGTTGTCACGATACCAGTATTGCAAAACTCAAGAGGTATCGTGGAAAGGAAACAAAACAATAAGTGGACTACATTTCCTGAGGAAAACAGTCCTAATGTTGGAAACAAAACAGTCTTATGTTGACACCCAGAATAATGTTTATTTTCCACACTATAGCACACAATATGTTACATACAGCAGGGTTTTAAAAGGACCAAATAGTTTAGTCTGCTTTGTGTTTTCCTTTTTGCCAAGGAAAAATCAGGTATCGTGACAACCCTATTTCTAACTGACATACCCCCAACATCGCTAAGAAAAGCCATCCTTCTGGACATTTGCAAACTCTCCCTAAAAACAATATCATACATGACATTCGGTAGTAAGTACACACACACACTCACCCATTGCTGGATTTCCTAGTGTAGTGATCCTGGAGTGTCCCACAGACAGACCCTTCTCACATATCCAAGGGAGCTGGAAAAAGAACATCACAAAAAATAATACACAGTGGTTTTCAAATGACAACCAGGAGCCCAGCAGCCAAGCTCAGATTGTAGGCCTAATGCTTAATCCAATTGTAAAGATCCAGACTGTAGCAGCAACATTAGATCAGAGTACTAAATCACGGAGCTATACCACACCACCTGGTGAGGCAGGCAGGCCGTTAGGCTCACCTTGGACTTGTCTGGGAACAGGAAGCAGTAGGACTCCACCAGCTCTGGGTCTGTACGGCCCTCCTGCTTCAGCTCCCTCCTCTTCTCAATGAACTGGCACACACACAAACACAGGAGAAAATATGCCATCATGACAAAAGATGCAAGCAGAACAATATAAAGGGCACACTGGTTTTGTGGGTGGGTCAATGTCAGTGAGGTATGAAGTGTGTATTTGTTGTTGGTCGTGCAAAACTATTAACTAGTGTTTTGTGCCAGTCTGGGAAGAATATCAGCAGTGGGTATGCGTTTTATTTTGTTTGAACATTAGGAAGTGGAGATTTGACTAAAGTGATAGTAAATGGGAATTCTTATAAACAGATCTTTGGGCCATGCTGTTGACAACAGCCTGAGGCTGACTGATCAGCCGACGGTTTGTCTTACTGTTATAGTTTTCGTATTTTATTTGTTGCGGCCCACTGGACTTCTTTATAGTTTGGTGTACCATGTGGTTGGTTTGTGTTAAATATGATGGGGGAAAAATTGTCTATATATATATTTTTTAAATGAATAGCTGGGGGTATGATAATAATAATAATAATATGGTTGAGCTTGGTGGTGCTACCTCTTTCTCCAGAAGCTCATTGTGAATGAGCCTGGCCTTGCAGTAGGAGAATGTCCCTCTGGACGATGCATCCAGGTAGAAGGAGGAGAGGATCTTCACAAGGCCCTCAAATTCCCGGGAGTCAGGGGCCAGAAACTGGTACAGGCCTGCAGAGGAACAGGGATGACAAGAGAGGGAAGAGAGAAACAGAGGATTAGTATCATTCAGGGATCTGATTGGCACAAATTGGACAGGTGGATTTTTGTTCTCCATATTGCTTATTGAAACTTTTCATATTTACACAATTTGGAATTAGGCACATAAGGGTTGTGGAGGGGGTTATAAGTGATTGGTGGTGTGTGAGCAGGCCTAGTGCTTAGAGACACACATGGATATTGAATTGTCCCCAACGCAGATGTTTACAGAGCATGAGGACAGTATTCGTGATAGACAGTATATCAAAACTATACAAGATGGTTAGTACACTAAAAAGAGCTTCATTTCCCCACATGGATGCCATGGTTATAGTGATTGGATGGGTCTGCCCTGTAATGCAGACCTCTAACAATAGCAATTCCTCATCTTCATCTAATGCTACTTCATCTGAAGGTCACCAAATGACCCTACCACCCTATATCCAATATTTCTGCATAAAAAGGGGCAAAGTTCTCAGTGTACTTTGTGCTAAATTCTTATGATGCAATATGTCCAACCAAGTCTCATCCACCAGTCTATTTTCCAAATGCGCTGACATCACACTAAGGAAAGGGAAAATCTAAAACTAGCATATGCATTCTGAAAATGGGTATATTGACATATCCATCAAGCCATAGGCCAGATTCTAGAGACAATAAAATCAAATTAAACTTTACTTAGAGCAACTTGTATGATGGATTGTATTTTGCATGCAGGCTGTGCATCATAATTCGGCATCACCCCAACTACGAAAACCAAATACATGCAACCTGTGAATATAGTGGGCACCATTGGTATAGAACAGATGCTCTTTCTGATGACAATCCAAGCAATGGACCCATGACAAAACAGGCCTCCACTACACATGGTTGTGTCCATTGCATAGGAGTAATGTTATATAAACCCAAAATATTATGTAAGAGCCAAGACCAGCACAGCAACCCATCTAAAGAATGAACTAGCCTAGCTAATACCACAACAGTTCTTAGCAGCTTCTCCCAGTCTGGCTATTCCTGGATGACCAATGGTCTCACTGTATAGCTAGTTACATTTATTCTACCCAAAAATACTCAAACTGGGGTCTGGACTTGTTGTCTACTATAATCTGTATCAAATCTGTGAAGATATGGGATGATGGCTGACTATCTCTGAAGCTTCATGGAAGGGCCATGGTAACCAGTCTAGGCCTAGATCCTATAAGATGGGTGTGGTGTGTGTACAACCCAAGGGACTTTACTACTATGGTCATCTTCCAACACAAGCTTTCAAAATCCTCAGCTGAATACCATCAAAACTAATTTCACTCTCCACATGAGCCTCCATTTAGACCCAAGTAATATGGAGGCTTGATGGGCAGCATCTCTTCACGTGCTTGTCTTCTCGCGCCTGGGCTGAAACTTACCTGCAATGCTGACCGAGAGATGAGTACGGGAACCGATATTACCTTTACCAAGGCAATAGTTTATTTGCACGCAATAAACTAACGGTAACTACCCTCTGAAGATGGATCACAATCCATGTCAATAGCTAATCTAAATTCTGACGGTAGGGAACGCGGGTTTGCTACATGCAGCACTTGAATTATGAAACACTGGGAAGCCTCTGTTGGAAATAGCTAGCTAGTACTAGAGAAAGGGCACAACCTTTCCGTTCCTTGATCTTCCTCGGGATCTGAAAATTTCTCCTTGGCAACTCTTCAGCCTGTCTCTGGCCGGGTAACGGTGAATTATTGGAGCTTCTCGCGGTCGTCTGCCCGCTCCTCCGCCGCTCAGAGGCTTCTTGTTCGGGCATTACACCGTCTTCACATCCAGTCTGATCGCCATTTTGGTTGGATGTGGCCGAGATGGCGGCTGACAACGAATTTGTCTTGCTATTGCCGCTCTCCAAGTCGAGCTCACCGGTCTTCAAACACTCTATGTCAGTTTTTCTCTCCACTTTGGGGTTCAGGGCCATTTTTCGGGCACCGTTAGCGTCTTTCGCGGGCAATGTAGTTGGTTACTGCGCCACTTAACTGACACACTCTACTCTTCACCCTGCCTCCGCCATTGTGAATATGACGTATGCCTTCTTCTCCACCAAGGCAAAGCGCTGGCGTCACTCTGTTTACATTCAAGCAAAGCCGCGCCTCCTACAGGCCCTCGAGTCGAATAACTTCCTTTGAGACCGTTATTATACCTCAGTGTTTGAGACAGCAGCTGGCTGAACTAGTGTTTGTGTCTACCTTTGTGGACAACTATAGGCCAACGGGGCGGGCGGCTGGCTTACTGTGACTGAGTCAGATTCTGCATATGACAATCTTTATTTAATTTATACAGATGTTAAAGGGATACTCCACTCAAAAGAAATGTACATGCGTTTCCACTAAGGCCTGGCGTACTACAGAAATCTTGACAAAAACATATTGTCAAATTAAACAGTTTCTGTCTCTAAAGTGATGCTTTTATACCGTCTGTGACACATGATAACTTATTGACATAAACAGGCATTTGTTTGAATCAGAGGAATATCCATAAATAGTATAGGCCCAATAACACACCATGACCTATCCACTTTCAGTCTGACATTTGATATACAGAGTGGTGGTCTGAGTGGGAAATGCTTATTGCGTTTTGGCTGGCCTATTTAATTGAGACCATGTATCCAGAATGACATCTGACAAATGAAAGCCTACTATAAGAAAAAAATGGACAGTCATATGTTCTCCGATTTGTATGCCTTCTCCAATGATGGCATATGATGTGTGCAAAACAGGTGACATGGATTTCAATGTTAGATGAAAATATAATAAGGTTCCTGAACCCAGTTCTAAGAGTTCTGTTCAAATGTTTAATGACAAAATACAATTCTTGTAAATCACAGATAAAAATAGAACATTACACAAAATCTCTAAAAATCCCTCAATTTGTAATTCCTTACAAATTCAATAATTATACAAAAATATCATTAAGTTCTTGACAAATGTTTTTAACCTAACAAGCTTATCCTAGTTGGTTCAGTGACCCACGATGCTCTACCTAGGAGCAACACACATTGTGTTGCCTATGACATAACATAATACACAGCCCATCTGTAATTGCCCACCCTACTACCTCATCCTCATGTTGTTATTTATTTTGCTCATTTGCACCCCAGTATCTCTATTTGCACATAATCTTCTGCACATCTATCATTCCGGTGTTAATACTAAATTGTAATTATTTTGCACTATGACCTATTTATTGCCTTACCTCCATAACTTACTACATTTGCACACACTGTATATAGATTTTCTATTGTGTTTTTGACTGTACATTTTGTTTATCCCATATGTAACTCTGTGTTGTTGTTGTTTTTATCGCACTGCTTTGCTTTATCTTGGCCAGGTCGCAGTTGTAACTGAGAACTTGTTCTCAACTGGCTTACCTGGTTAAATAAAGGTTAAATAAAAATAAATAAAAAATAACATACTTTCAGAGTAGGAAAAAAGGGAGAGAATATTGCTTGTTTGTTCATCCTCAAGTAGGACCTAAAGAGACACACACTTTCAAAAGTAAACAAGGTCCAGACCAACTGATAATGAACTTGAACTTTCTTGGAGAGTGCCTTTATGTTATGATCAGTCAGGGCTGCCCCTGCTGTAGACGTCGTACTCTCTGTATCGGAGGTAGTCCTTAAGCCTGGTGGGGAGAGGCATGAAGCTGATGAAGGCTGGGGATCGCAGACGCAGACGGCTCAGGCAGTTCCGGATACGCAGCCGACACAGGTGCTTCAGGCTGCGCACATTCTCTGAGGGGGCATTAGGGTCATGCTTTATTTACCAGGAATTTGGTCAAATGGTAATTACATAATAATTATTGTGAAAAGGAATCTGTGCAGTGCAGTTCCATTACCGTACCTTGGATATGGCATATCTCAGGCCACTGTTTCTGTGTCTTCAGGCATTCCTTGAGTTTGACACAGAGGGTGACGTGGTCTGTGTAGTCCAGCATGATGCGCACTACCTGTGCTGAGATGTGTTTCAGCCACTTGACTGTTATCACCTCACAGAACTACAGACAGAAACAAAAAAGGAGAGAGAGAGACAAACAGAAAGAGAGAGAAATAGAGAGAGAGAGAGTTTGTAATAACCACATTTACAATGACCACATAATGTTTGGATTCTCCTTAGCACTAGGTGTCTAACCACCATGTCTTTGGTGACCGAGGTCGTCCAGGGTGTGTAGTCATGGGAACTGTCTCCGTAGGGACAGTCAAAGCAGCGTTGTACGTCATATCCGTGGTTGAGAAGCATCCTCAGCATGACCTCATCTTTCAGTGCATACTGCAGTGCCGATGGGAAGTGTGTTGTGTTGACACGAGAATAGTAGTTGGTGTTGGCACCGTACCTGATTGATTGACAAGACCAACAAAATCCATTATGCCTACATTAACAGTACACAGTAAACAAAAATGCATACGACAGGCTAATTCATCTCACTCACATAACATGTTTTACTGTAAAGTATATTGAGATTTTGAAATGATTTGACCTGAGTTTGATTCCTACCTCAGCAGAGTGTTTATAAGCTCGTAGTTGCCCAGCCGCAGGGCCACCTGTAGACAGTTGACAGGGTCCTGGTTGACCATGGCTTCAGCCTCCAGCAGCAGACGGGTAGACTGGACATCGTTGTTCCACACAGCAAAGTAAAGAGCCGACCTGCGTTCGTCATCGTATTTATTGCGCACGCGTGGGTGCAGCATGAAGTTGGGGTCGTAGCCTGCATTGAGAAGGACCTCCAGGCACTGGGCGTGTCCCCCAGCAGCTGCAGAGTGGAGGGGACTCATACCACTCTTCTTCACTGCCTCCATCTTTGTTGCGGAGATCAACTGTTCCAACACCCTGAGGAGAGAGAGGAGAAGAGCTTTCAATATCTGTACCTCCTAACAGCAGAAAAATAAAGAAATAAATATAAAAGAGGTATATAAAGTAAAGATGTTTCTCCACTCACAGCAGATGCCCATGGTATGCAGCACAGTGGATGGGTAGGTGCCCGCTGTGGTTGGGCATGTCGGGGTCTGCCCCATAGTCCAGCAGCAGAGAGATGATGTCAGGATTCCCTGATGCAACCGCCTCAAACAGCAAAGAGCCCTCTGTCTGAGACTGCACGCTGGCTCCTGACAGAGTGACAGAGAGAGCAAGAGAGAGAGGAGGGGAGAAAGAGAGTGAGAGAGAAAGATAGAGAGGAGAGACAGAAATGCAAAGTTAGTCACTCCATATGGTCCAGACACACACACACACAGACACACACACCTTTCTGTAGCAGGACCTCCACTACGTTCAGGTGCCCTGTCTCTGCAGCCAGTGCCAGTGGGGTCAACTTGTCAACATCCCTTGCGTTTGGGTCGGCTCCAGACTGCAGTAGCAGGTAAACAAAATTGTCCAGACCCAGGAGTGAGGCCTCATGGAGGGCAGTCCGCTCCAGATCTCCTGTTTGGTCCACCTTGGCATTGCAGCGAATCAGGAGCGAGGCACAATCATATTGGTCATTTACTATAGCTGTAGGAAATAGTTGACAGAGCAGGAAGAATGGCAGAAGGTTAAAGTTGTGCTCCATAAACAAAAATCGAAATCTACGAAAATCTAAGATACGTTTTGAATACCTGCCACGAGTGGAGATTCCTCGTCATCGTTCTGGAGGTCTGGACAGCATCCGTTCTGTAGCAGGAACGTAGCGTTTTCCCTCAGACCGCACACTACAGCCAGGAAGAGAGGTGTCTCTCCCTTCAAAGTCCGGCACTGCTCTGCACCCTGGGGGGAGGCTGGACACATGGACCTGTATATTACTACCTAGATTTTAGCAGGAAAGTCCCTTGAGATATGTCTCTATACCAGTACCTGAGAAGATGATCTCCAGTATACTTTTCTTCTCCTGTACTGCGGCCTCATGTAGCGGGATCCATCCTCTGTCGTCTACTCTGGACATGGCTCCTGGTTGCTCAGCCAGCCTTGTTAGGGCCTCCTCATCACCTAACAGAACAGGAGGACAGGTAGGGGGTAAGTCTCAATAGTCTGACATGGCTTTCTCTCCTGTCCTTTCCATTCGTTTGAACTGGAGAAGTGAAAGACATGTTCTGGTAGACATCTACCATATTGTTTTCACTTTCTGTAATGAGATGAGACAAGTAGAGGAATTATATTTAGACTATTGAGATGCATCCGAAGACCAGAACTGTTATTCATTGCTGGGCCCTCCAGTACCCTGAAATGGAACAGCGCCAAAGTCAATAGACTGGCTGTAACCTCTATGGCACAGGGGTCATAACCCTCTTTATCTTATTCCACCTCTGACCCAACTCCACACACATGATATAGGGGCCAGACAATCTATGAGACCGGAGAAGTGATGATCGCACATAGCAGAGGTCATTAAGGAGTTAAGATATGGAAAAAATGATGCTCACCTTCCTTTATCACTGTAAATATCTCATCAGGATCACCTTCAGGGCCTGCAGGATCACTGGGTGAAATATATGTATAAACACTGAATCACTTGGCCATTCCACAGCTAACCCATGTGGTATACACAGAATAAAGCAGTAGGTATTTTGCCATTTGGGAGGTCTTACTTGGGGAGTGAGCCTTTGTGCTTGTTGTATTTCAGAAGGCTCTGTTCAATCATGTACTGTGTGTCCTCATCCTCTTCTGATTGGTCAAACTTATCTCCTGCCTCTGTCTCTGAGTTCATCTGTCACTCCAGGAAGGGTCAACTCACCAGGAAACTACTAACTTGAGCTGGGGAGACATTATGTTAAGAACCTTCATTCTCATTCTCTGTTCAACTACTTGTATTTGAAAAGGGCAACATGTTACCTACCAGGGCAGGGACCATACACATGACCAGCCAGCAGCCTCAAATACCAACAGGACCTCGACAGACATTTAGACAGACAATAGACAACCGTAAAACTGGAGAGCATTGCAGCCATGTTGCACACTGTAATTTTTGTGAGTTTGTGCTGACTATCATATCACATACATAGAAAATGAGAGAATACGTTACAGTATATTTACATGCTCAATGGTTGTGTTCTGCTTGAAATAGCTGACCCAGTTCTCTGCATTGGCGTTATCAGGGACTTTGATGATGACAGTAGATAGATGCATAATAAAGGCTAAACAATGCATTATAATTGTGGCTGTAGTGTTGGGTATTGCACATTGAAAACTACATCAGCCTTTATAAGGAATTGTGGATAAAACTTTCAGGATGAAAACAGCTATTATTCTACAGTTATCAGGCCACTTACTGTAAATTGAGCATGCAATGGCCACTCAAAATTCAACATTTACATGGCACCATATCACACCATTTCAGATTAACAATGGCATTCATGCACCACACCATTCCATCCTTAAACCTCCCAGAGGATTATGTCTTATCAAAACACAGCTTTTGTTTTCTGTTTACCTTCAGTCAACAGACTGTTTCTCCGATGGCCTCACAATCTTCAGTGGGTCAAACACACTAAGCTTCCAAAGCACACCTATGTATATCTCCCCAGCTATTTATATCTGATCACGGGGCCTTCCCACCCTGCACCTGGCTCTGACCCACTGAGCACACTGCAACTCTACCCACAGCTCAACTGACTGACAGACACACATGCACACACACCTCCCAGTGGCCATAGGCAGGTATCACATACTGCAGGTCTGCTATGGTCATTATCAGGTATTGTGTGTATTCCCACTCAACAGATCTAAACAAAACCAACAGCCACACAAGTTAATTACATCAAAGTATTTTTAATATGATTAAAGTAAATAGAGAATCCACCAGAGAGCTAAGTCTCGGTGTAATGACGTAAAGTGCCTGTGTGAAATAGTGTGTTCTTCCCTCCTCCTCTGTGTCCTCAGTCGTCCAGCTGGCAGAGCATGGCCACGCCTCTCTTGATCCAGTGCTGCGGGCGCTTGCTGGTGGGCAGCATCATGGTGATGACAAAGTTGGTAGAGTGGCCTGTGGTGGACAGGGTGCCCTTCCTCTCGCTGGTCTTATACAGCGGACACACATACAGGGTCTGGGGAAGGTCACTGCCCTTCTTCTCAACTGGGGAGAGAGAGAGAGAGAGAGAGAGAGAGAGAGAGAGAGAGAGAGAGAAGAGAGAGAGAGAGAGAGAGAGAGAGGAGAGAAGAGATAGATAGAGAGAGATAGAGAGAAGAGAGAATACGAGATAGAGATGGAGAGAGGAGAGAGAGAAAAGAAGAAGAGAAGAGAGGGATAGAGACATCTCTCGTTCTATCTCTATACATAGCGCATCTCTGCTAGCATCCTCTCTCTCTCTCTCTAGACTATATACTAGATGAGCGTATCCTAGCTAGCTCATCTCTATACTCTCGTCGAGCTAGCGCTCTCTCTCTCCTCTCCTCTCTCGTACTCTCTCTCTCTCTTTCTACTCTCCTTCCCTGAGCCCTGCCACCTCTATGTCTCCAATATGCATTCCTACGTAGACAGAGCTGTCAATGTCTAGGAAGTGCATAGAGAAGCCAAAAACCTAAACACCAAAAGAGCCATGAATGTCTTGTTATAGTTATACCAATATAGCTTTCCCATGATTTCTTATTTATTTTGGATGAGAGACAAACTTACTTGGTTTGATCCAGATGATGGGGACTGTATCAAAAAGAACCTTGGGATGCTGCTCAGCCAGGACTCCACTGTGAGGGGGAGAGATCAGTCTCAGTTCACTTCACTCTCTGGTATAATTTTAAGAAAACCCTTGTTTGAGAGTGTCTTCTACCTATTCTTGTCCCAGCGAGCGCCGTCCAGAAACAGACCGTGGATGTAGACGCCGTCTTCAGGAGAGGAGTTTGAGGTGTCGATGGGAAGAACCTGTTACGAAGGAGAGGGAAGGAAAAGACTAATCAAAACAGACAAACAAGAGGAGGAGTGGTCTTTTTAAGTAACAACTTGTTAACAACAATGCCTCAAAAAACAAAAATCGCTTCTAATTCAGCCGTTTGCGTGACCTCGAAGTCGAAGCCAAGCAGGTCGATGGGGATGGAGTATTTCCTGGCGTAGTTCTGCATAGCCCCGGTCAGGAAGGCCTGGGTGAAGAAGAACCCAGACAGCCAGAACACATGGGGCTTGTTGCTCTCATACCAGTCCTGCAAGGGAGAACACATTAGTTAACAAAACAGAAGAGTTCCCTCTTCATGAGAAAACGGAATACATGCTGATGATGGATTTAAAAACAATACTGATGCTAATGGACTGACCTGCAGGAACTTGAGCTTGGCAAGGAAGTCGGTGATGTAGCTGCCCAGGGGTTTGAGGCTGGGGTAGGAGCGCTTGGCCCACTTCTCTGGCAGCTTGCCCACCATCAGGCTGCCTGACAGGGCCTCCAGCTCAGCATCCATCACCACCAGGCCCTTGATGGCCTTCAGTAGGTTCTGCAGGCTCACACGGATGGTAACCGCCAACCTGGAAGGCAAGACAGTGATATGATCCTAATGCTGTATTACGGAAAACCGGGAATCAAGTTATGGAGTATTGTGGGTTTTGGTAATCTACATTAAGATTTACATCGGAATTGAGTTGTTTTTCTGAGGTGTGTTTTTTTTGGTGTGTGATGAGATGACATACGTGTTGTAGCGCTCCATCTCCTGCACCAGTACAGTGTTCATGCTCTCTTCATACAGAACAGGGTACTTCAACAGAGCAGCCTCCATGTCAAAGTTAGCTGGAAGCTACATGAAACAGACAACAAGTGACCTAACTGACCACCTGCTCTGATTCGCCACACCTTGGCACAAGTGCACTCACTCATGCACACACCCACACACACACATCACAACTGCTGCTACCAGACTCTTATTATACTGCTCAATTTATACACTTGCCCCACATCCCCCCCTTCCCCGATACACATGTAACTATTGGACTATATATTGTGCCTTCCTGTATTATACTTATGCTAAAATGTTTATTCTATTCTACTACCATTTACTTTATGTCCGTATTCTTATATTTTATTATTTCTTATTGTTGTTGCATTGTTGAGAAGGAACCTGCAAGTAAGCATTTTGTTGGACAATGTATACTATGCATATCCTGTACATACGACTAATAAAACTTGAAACTAACTTAAAATCATTGAGTCGGATGACAAATATATGGGGGGAAAAAAGCCGTACATTTCAGCAGTACAAGGACTGGTTTGGCTTTACCTTGGTGAGGATGTCATTGGCTATGTCGAAGAGGGTGTTGTCTCCCCCGGAGCTGGCCCCTCCCTTGGCCCCTCCTCCCTGGGTGAGGAGCAGGGAGTCAAACAGCTGCTTGGTCTGCTGCAGGTCCTTGGAGATGTCCACGTTCTCATGCATCCCAAACACCTCCGGGTGCTGGAGGAATGGAAGGTTCTGAAGACAACAACACAAGATTGAAAACATGATGGAATGCATGAATGTGAGCCATGCGGCGTCCCGCAAGGTTCCATTCTGGGTCCAATTCTGTTCACTTTGTACATGGTAATGTTATCAGACAGAATGGTATTGATTCTCATAGCTATGCTGACAACACACAGCTGTACACCTGATGAATGAATGTCTCATTCCTTCCCTGTCTAACTCCTGCTCACCCGTATGAACTCAATGTAGTCCTCGTAGTTGGACTTTGGCGGGGCGTAATATTTTCCGCTGGGGGAGAAGGTGTAGCGGGGGTTCTCAATGATGTCCTTGTTGTAGAAGTCAGCCAGGATGGTCATCAGTAGCCTCCTGTCCCAATCGTCAGTCACACGGCCCCCATAGTTACACTCCCCTGTCAGGTAGGTGATGGCTTCCATCGGCACCTGATCATACTCCCTCACAAACAGCTGGAGGAGGAGGGACACAAACAACATGGTGAGAGAGGGGAACCACACAATCTGCAATCACATATATTTATATTCAACAACCACATTAGGACCACAGTCTTTTAAAAATGACAATCTCTCTCAAATACTCCAGCCCTGAGTTGATGTGTATTACTACCTGTAGTTGTCTGATGCTGATGCGCAGGTCAGACTCGTTGAACCCATAGGGGATGTTCCAGCCCAGAGGACCAAACTTCTTCCTCTCCTGAACCAGAGCGTGGAAGAAGCAAACTCCATACAAGAGCTTCTCCCACACCTAGAAACAACCAGAGGAACAATCAGCGACAGCATTTGTGTGTGTGTGTAATAAAATATATAATAATAATATTTGTTATATATAGGTGGCCCCGGGAATCAAACCCACTATCCTGGCATTGCAAGAACACTATCCTGGCATTGCTCTACCAACTGAGCTACAGAGGACCACGTATGTGTGTCTGTGTGTGTGTGTGTGTGTGAACCATGTCACCACTCACCAGTTCTTTGTCTGTGCAGGCGTTGAAGAAGTCCTGGTCTGAGACGGGGTCTGACAGGTAGGACTGCAGCAGGTTGAGCCTGAGACCTGTGGGCGGTTCGTTGGTCATCTTCACCCCATTCTGCAGGATGGTCACTGGGAACTGACACAGGGAAAATGGTTACAAATGCACATCATGGATGCCTATCATCCTATTGTATACTGGTTGACCAGGCTGGATCCAGTGTTGTACCCTACCTTGGGCGAGGGGTAGCTGGTGAGCCACAGTCTGAAGTCTAGGTGGCAGGTCTCTGGGCTAAAGTCCTCACAGATCTTCTCCAGGGTGGACATCCAGGAGACGGCCAGGTGGCAGTTCTGCAGGCACACCCAGGTGCCCTCCTTCATGGCCGAGCGGATCATCTTGGCAGCGATGGGGCCCTGGCCCTGGCCCAGGGAGATGGACTGGAACTTGGTTCCGCCCATGTTCTTGTCGTTGGCAAACTTTAGCAAGCCTGGAAGAGGGGTGGGGGGTGGGGCAGGGGACAAAGTCTAGGTTTAAAAGAGCCATTTTCCGTATCAAACAAAAGCAGTAACAGGTGTGAGGTATGTGTATGAGATCAGTCGGATACTACTTACTGGCCATGGGGTCGGCTCCAGGAGATAGCACAAACACCAGAGGGATGGTGGAATTGGAGTCTGTGTAGCTCTTACTCAGGTCAAAGGGAGGCGGCTCCACAAACTTCTTCCCCAGTTTGTCAGTCACATAGTTCGTGATGGCCGGCACAATCTGGAAACATATGGAGTAGCAAATAAGAGTAATCATACATGCAAGCATATGATATGGCCGCGTCCTCTGTATTGATTTTAGAGTGTCTTCTTTGCGTTGACTTTAGGTGGACAGCAACAGTAAATAGGGAATGGCTTATTTCTCTCTCTAACCTTGTCTGGCCTGAGACAGCGGTAAATGATCATCTTCTGCATGTCATTGAGGCAGTCACACCAGGGCTTGGGCAGATTGGTGTTATAGGGCTCTTTGCTATCATAGATGACCAAGAACTTATCTGGGATCTTGATGAAACTCTCCCTATGAGAATCATAGAGAGGGACGACAAATTCCATATTTGAGTATTAGCAGAAAAAAAACACTGAATAAATATCCAATCCCCCAAAACAAAAAGAGGCAAGCTCAGCAGTTTGTCTATGTCATACTTGAGTCCCTGGAGGTTGGGCAGGTGGCTGGCCCGGCAGATCTCGTCCCAGCTCTTGTCCTGCAGCCATAGGGGGTCTGGGTTGGGGACGTTGTTCTGCAGACCCACCCCTCCAGTCAGCAGGAACATAAAGTCACCATATTCTATCTCCTTCTTCGCTCTGAAAAAAAAAAAAAAAAAAAAAAAACGTTTATCCCACCTTATCTTAAATAGCATGCTTAAATACAATTTTATTTGAATAAATGAAGTACTTCACTCATTTCACAAAACTCCATCTTAAATGTGGGTCCTCAGTGTGTGGTATAGACTTACAGGAGGAGGTTGGAGCAGAGTAGGAATGAGAAGAGCAGTTTGTCCTTCTCAAACAGGGAGCGACACACGTTACAGTACAGGTTGTAGGTGAAGTGGTCGATGAGGTACCTCAGCCTCTTCTCCAGGATCTTGGACTTGTTACTGAAACACAGATGCCATGTGTTACCTAGGACACAAAGGAGCTTCGGTCTAACTGTACATCATATTCCTTAACCAATGACTCATGAGGTCTAAACCCTTGTTATCTGTGTAGGAGCATGTTTCTCACCTGTCCTGTATGGAGTTGATGTAGAGGTTGACGAACCAGCTGAGGGAGTACTGGTACATGGGGTCTATGTTGGCCAGGTCAGCAATGCTGAAAAACAGGATGGAGGAGTGCTTGGCAATGGCTCTGTACCCCTCCCTAGACTCTGCTATCTTGACCTCTGTCTTCTCAGCAATCTGGGGGTTGGGAGATAGGGTAGAAGTTAGTTTAAGACCATCTCATTCTAATTGGCTTTCAACACCATTTTGACTGTATTCTTCCAGCGTGTTCCAGACCTGCTGTTTCTTGGAAATCTCGTTGGACATGATCTTGGCCGAGTCCAGGACCTGGATGGCGCTCTCATCCTCCAGGATGTTCCCCTCGGATGACGACAGTGTCTCCAGGATCTTGTCCTCGATCTCCTTCAGGACCTTCTTATTGGACGCAGACTGCAGAATCAGGGCGTTCCGCTCCTCCTCCAACTCCGGCCTGAAGAGAGAGACATGAGGACAGGGGTTAGCCTTCTAGATTTCGATCTTCATCATATACTCTAACAGTACGATTGGTCGTAAACAGATCAATGCTTTTTGTGCAGTCTGTGGCGTATCTGGTAGACAGATTAAGAGTTTATAACTTAATTACTGGAAAATGATCCATTATAAATAATGATAGATCTCCACAGCATAGCGAGTAGTGTAGCGTGTGTTGCACCACACACCTCTCCTTGGCGACCACAATGCCCAGCAACTGGTCCTCGAGGCCCTCAGGGGTGATCATGAAGTTGAGCAGGGACACCTTGGTGGCTAGCTCCGGAAGGTAGTGGGGGTTCCGCAGCTTAGTGGTGATGTAGAACCGGAAGTCACACGAGTACTCGATCACACTCTCCCCCAACCGGATACAGTCCATGCCCCCTGGGTGACACAAACAAATACTCTGTGATCAAATGACACCAGTATGTCACGATAAATCCATGAACATAATATGACATTCATCAAAGCGTGCCACCCTGTTCGGTACCTTGTTTGAAGGTCTGTTTGAGCAGCAGGGGCTCCAGCGACGGGTCCAGCTCCTCCCCTACGTTCTCTAGCAGCAGAGGGGTCCCGAACTGGATGCAGTTCTCCAGGGTTCTCATGTAGTCTCCGTCCGTCAGCTTGATCACGCTTAGGTTGTTGTCCTTCTCAGAGTTCTTCACCCACTTGTTGGCCTGGCCCTGGGGGTCGATCATCAGGGGCCACCGGCGGGAGTTGCTGACGATGACCCCGTTGTCTATGGAGAAGCTGTCGGTGGGCAGGCCTGAGATGTTCCACGCCCTAATTTTTATGGGGTCTCCCAGGGTCTTACTCAGGGAGAAGTCATCTGATGACGGAATGTTTTTAGACTGGGGGGTAGGAATAAATAACGAGATTAAGATTGGTGACAATAAATTGCTGTTGTGTTGAGGTGCTGCTGTATGTACCAGTACCTTGCAGAGCTTGGTCCATATCTTGGCACAGTTCTGTCTGAAGCCAGCAGTGAAGGCTCCAAGGTAGGCGATGACGCCAGCTGAGATGAGCACGTCACCAGTCAGGTTATCATAGGTGTTCTGAAGGTCATCTGCTGCTTTGGACCACCTGCAGAGGGAAAACACAGTCCCTCAGGACATAGCAAAGACCTCAGGTACTAATGGCCTACACAAACCAATAGAAACATATGTCAATCTATCTAATCAATTCCATCATCCACAGCACCTGGTCTTCTCTCCTCCCAGGCCTCCGATGAGTTTCTCGGCTCTCTCCAGTTTGCGGGCACACAGGTCCACCTGGAACTCCAGCTGGGCCTTCTCCTCAGTCTTCTCCTCAAAGGTCTTCTGCAGCAGGGCCAGACGGTCCTCCACCTCCTTCAGCTCAGCTCTCTTCTGGTTCAGCAGGGACATGGTGGTGGCCAGAGACAGCTGAGCCTCGGCCAGACCGGCCTTCTTAGGGGCCACTACCTTGGCCACTCTGTCGTAGATCTCCATGGCAGTGACCCACTTGCACAGGCCCTCGGCGGCAGAGGAGGCCTTGGCCACTTTGGTGGGGTCAAAGTCAGGGTTAGTCATGTACTCACTGCGGATCTTTTGCATCACAGGGACCTAGCCGGGAAAAGAGAAGAGTCATTGAAAAAGTATATAGATTTACGTTGATACTTCAGTTTAAATGCAATCAACACATTTATTTTTTCACAGGGACTCACAGGGATGTTGTCCTTGTCGTACTCTTTCAGATCTCGTAGGAAATTCATGTCTCCAAGAAGCTTTTTGCTCGGACCCCAGTAGTCAAGAATCTATTAAAATGGTAAGAAAACATAATTAAACATATAAGCAAACAAATGTTATTTTTTAAATAAAAAAAGAGGTAGAGCAGTTCCTGACCTTCTGTCCAGTCCCAGCAGGATCAACAATTCTATCCGGTTTCAGCTCCTTCATCACACACACGGCCGCCATCACCAGCTTCACCCCCGACGGAGGGCTCTTCATCGACTTCACGATGGTCACGTCAGAGGGCTGAGAGGAGAGAGATCAGATAAGATCATACTTTGTCAGTTAGCACATTTATTTGCTTTGCGCAAGTCTCCTTTCAATCCCCTTTGGTAAGACTGTGCAGGGCAGGCAGTGATGATCTCTGCTTGATCAGAATCCCAAGAGCGTTGGGCCAGTAACCGAAAGTTCGCTGGTTCGAATGCCGAGCCGGCAACGTGGAAAAATCTGGCGTTCTGCCCTTGAGCAAGGCACTAAACCCCCAACAACAACTGCTCCCCGGGCGCCGATGACGCTGATGTCGATTAAGGCAGCCGCCCCACCTCTCTGATTCAGAGGGTTTGGGTTAAATACGGAAGACACATTTGGGTTGAATGCATTCAGTAACTGACTAGGTATCCCCTTTACCTTCCCTTTCCCTACCTTCAGGGTGTCAAGGGCTGAGAGGGCCATCTCCAGGGCAGGTATGGCCTCTGCTAGGTCGCTCTCACACTCATTCTTCAGGGCCTGGGCCTCGTTGGCCTTCAGAGTGGCAGCCTCCTCGTCCACACGCACCACCTTGCTCTTGGCCTCCACCTGCACTGACTCTACCTCTAACACCTTCATCATCTTGGTGTTGTCTATCTTGGCCTGCTCCAGTTTAGGCTGCAAGTCCACCAGCTCCTTCTTCATCTCACTCACCTACACAACAGATCAAACTCATGAGTGACAGAGCTAAGGCTGAACACAGTGTAATACAAAGGGGTGAACACAGACACATCAAAGGTTCAAGAGCACTTGATTCAAGTTGCCTTAGGTCTCAAGTCACAGTACATAACAAGGCAACAAACCATGCCACACACGATCCACATAGATCCTTACATTCATGTTGTAGCAAGATAAAAACAATCGGTTTGATGTACCTGAGACTCAGCGAAGGCCAGTTTGTCCAGGCCGTTGGTGTACCTCTTCTTGGCCTTCATGACCATGTCTCTCTTCTGGGTGAGCAGCTGACGGAATGCAGCAATCAACTCCAGGTACGAGGTGGGTGTCACGTAGTTATGGCGACCCAGCTCCGACAGGAACCTGGGAACAACAACATCCTCAGCTATCGTGCAATAAATCTGTATTAAATCTGTTTTTTATTTTAGTCCGTTTTTTTATAGAAGTCATTCAAATGGAATTGTTGTGTTTCTTTTCTCATCAATAACTTCTGTAGCATGAGATGAGAATATCTGATAATATTGTTAAGTTAGATGGAAAGGAAGAGTTTTATGTACTTGTGAGAGAGCTGGATGGCGGAGGTGTGGAAGGTCTTGCAGATGGGCATCACCTCCTGTCTCTCATGCTCACTCATCTCCAACGACTCCAGGAACTTGTTGGCCACTCGCTCCAGCGCCTCCTCTGGCCAGGGCTGGGAGGTGCAGTTCAGATAGGGGGTGAGGGAAGTTGATAAGCAAAAGATTGTTGAAATTACTTCATGGTTAGTATACAGTGTAAGTCATCAGATTCAAGAGGTTTTGTACTGCCTCTGTACCTGGAACCAGTCGATGGTGCAGCAGTTGATGAGCGAGGGGAACTGGCGTAGTCGGTTGCGGAAGGCCTCTCCTATGGGACTGAAGGCCACTATGATGTGCAAGTTCTCCCTGCAGCGCGTCACAAAGTAGGCAAACAGGGCCAGGGGGCTGAACTCCACACTCTTATTGCCAGCCTGGGCGATAGGCCGCACCGCCTGGGGAGAGAGAGGGAGCAGGGAGAGGTTGCGATGATTATTCCTATCATTCACAACATTCACTGTGAATGCTTCTGCTTAGACAATGTGATGGTATATATTTTTTTAAAGGGCAGTAACCCCAGTCTTAACCCTACCTCCAACCATAGCCTAACTCTAATGAGCCAAAGCCTATTATCCCTCTGGCTGGTCTGTGACCTACCTCCATGATTTCCGCCTTCTCGTCCGTGGCGAATAGGTTGGGCACCTCTCCTGTGTTCAGGACACTGTCCACATCCTCCAGGAAGGCCTCCTCCTTGATCTGAGCGTCAGTTAGCAGGAACACCGTCTTCTGACCCTTCACCCCTGCACTCTTCAGCAAGAGCTGCAGCACAGGAAAAAGCAAACAGTCCGAAAAATTATATGGAACACTCACAACAAATGCCCAAGTAGTGACAGCTCTTCAATTATCTGTAGACTGTTGCCATTACAGTCCAACCTGGTCTCTATGTCATTAACAGTCTCCCTCCCTGAGTTCTCCCTCTCTAAAGTCTCACCTTGAGGTCATCCCTCCACTCATTCAGGCTGTAGCTCTTGGAGATCTCTGGCTGGAACAGGGTCATCTTGGCCATGGAGGTGGCGAGGCGGGTGATGGATTGGCGCCCGCTGCCCCCCACCCCTACCAGCAGGGCATTGCCCCCCGGCTGCTTCAGCACACGGCTGATACGAGACAGGTGCTCCAGCACGTAGCTAAATGCAAATGGACAAAAACAAAGTCAGACTCAGTTTTCCAGTGAGTCTAGCTAACCTCTCATGCTGTGCTGCTTATAAAACCCAAAACCCTGGAGCTTGACGTTAAAGGCCTTCACCGAAAGATGACGAGGTTCATGCGGTTCTTGTGTGTCTGGTTGTACTCATCCAGACAGAGCTCCACCACCTGGCCGAAACTCTTCATGGAGGGCACCTCAGAGTACAGACGATCATTGTCCTCCATGTCAGGGTTCATGTAGTCCCCAAACAGCAGGTTACGCATGTCCTCCTCAAGCGGCTAGCGACAGGGAACACAGGAACCTCATCACCACATCTAAACAACAGTAAACAAACCACCACCAAAAACAACATCTCCTGTACTTACCGCCTTGTTGCCCGGAGCCTTCAGGTGGTCAAACACCTGGTCAAAGCTCTCCTTGAAGTGGTCCCTGACGATGTGGTTCATTAGGAGGTAGAGCCAGGCGCGGTCCTGGTCATCCACCAGACGGTCGTAATAGACGCGGAACACCTCGTGGACAAAGAGGCGGATCATTGTGCGTTTGTTCTCCAGGGACTCCTTCTTGAGGAGCAGGCAGCCCTGCACCACGCGGCTAAAATCTCGTAGGTTGAACGTGTAGTGGGACTTGGCTGGCGTGGGCAGCAGGTTCTCCATGGCCTTCTTGTAGACCTTTTGAGATACATGGGCGAAGCATTAGGCAAGAAGAGAAATGGAAATAACTTGATTTTAGGTGGTTTAAAAAGAGTCCTAACGAAGTGCGAAGAGCAACAATCACACCTCTCGTATATTTATAATCTAGTGGGTTTTACGCTTGTGGAAATAAAATAACTATCAATGTAATCTCCTGAACCATCTCACCTCCATAGTGGCAGCCACTATCTGGTTGCCTACGGTGAAGTAGTCTGGGGGGAACTCGTTGTTGCGGAGGTAGAAGGCCACCACGTTGGAGAAGATGCGCACCATGGTGTCGTCACTGAAGGCGTTGATGCTGGTGATGTTGAAGTGCCGCAGGAAGCGAGGCGTCACCGCGTTCCTCCCGCCACCAGGAGGCCCCATAGCCGAGATCAGCTGCAGGTCCACCAGGGTGATCTTAGTGGTGTCCTTCAGGTCATACCTGGGAAGACAGTGAAACTCAACTTTAGAGACATGATTCCATCCAGGTATGTCACTTATCATTATAGCCTAAAGCAAGATATGACGGCATTGTAATGTAGTAGTCTCTAACCAGTTGCCATGGTCAAAGTATTGGCGTAGGAGTTCCACGGGAGGCTGTGCCCCAAACTGCTCCAGGGCAGGCATGTTCATGTCATCCACAAAGATGACACACTTCTTCCCCATGGGGGGGCCAAACACCCCCTTCCTCCTCTTGTCCAGCCTGGACATGATGATGTTCTACAAAGAGTGGAAGAATATACAGTGAGCTCCAAAAGTATTGGGACACTGACACATATTATTATTTTTGGGCATTGTACTCCAGCACTTTGGATACAAAATGATACAATGACTATGAGGTTAAATTGCACACTGTCAGCTTTAATTTGAGGGTATTTTCATCCATATCGTGTGAATCAAAAGTATTGGGTCAAATTCACTGATATGTGTAGTAAAGTAGAAAAAAGTTAAGTATTTGTTCCACAATTCATAGCACGCAATAACAAGATTAAGATTGTGACTACAACTTTGTTGGATGCATTTGCTGTTTGTTTTGGTTGTGTTTCAGATATTTTTTTTCTCCAATAGAAATGAATGGTAAATAATGTATTGTGTCATTTTGGAGTCACTTTTACTGTAAATAATAATAGAATATGTTTCTAAACGCTTCTACATTAATGTGGATGCGACTATGATTACGAATAATTATAAGTGAGAAAGTTACAGATGCACAAATATCATATTGTGGACTACAGGGAAAAAAAGAGGACTGAGCACGCCCCCATTCTCATCGACGGGGCTGTAGTGGAACAGGTTGAGAGCTTCAAGTTCCTTGGTGTCCACATCACCAACGAACTATCATGGTCCAAACACACCAAGACAGTCGTGAAGAGGGCACGACAAAGCCTATTCCCCCTCAGGAGACTGAAAAGATTTGGCATGGGTCCTCAGATCCTCAAAAAATTCTACAGCTGCACCATCGAGTGCATCCTGACTGGTTGCATCACCGCCTGGTATGGCAACTGCTTGGCCTCCGACCGCAAGGCACTACAGAGGGTAGTGCGTACGGCCCAGTACATCACTGGGGCCAAGCTTCCTGCCATCCAGGACCTCTATACCAGGCGGTGTCAGAGGAAGGCCCTCAAAATTGTCAAAGACTCCAGCCACCCTAGTCATAGACTGTTCTCTCTGCTACCGCACGGCAAGCGGTACCGGAGTGCCAAGTCTAGGTCCAAAATACTTCTCAACAGCTTCTACCCCCAAGCCATAAGACTCCTGAACAGCTGATTGGCTACCCGGACTATTTGCACTGCCCCCCCACCCCATCCTTTTTACGCTGCTGCTACTCTGTTAATTATTTATGCATAGTCACTTTAACTCTACCCACATGTACATATTACCTCAACTACCTCAACTAGCCGGTGCCCCCGCACATTGACTCTGCAATGGTACCCCCCTGTATATATAGCCTCCCTACTGTCACTTTATTTTACTTCTGCTCTTTTTTCTCTCAACACTTTTTTTGTTGTTGTTTTATTTTTACTTTTTTTGTAAAAAATAAATGCACTATTGGTTAAGGGCTGTAAGTAAGCATTTCACTGTAATGTCTGCACCTGTTGTATTCGGCGCATGTGACCAATAACATTTGATTTGATTTGATACCCCCCAAAAATGCTAACCTCCCGTTATTGTAATAGTGAGAGGTTAGCATGTCTTGGGGGTATGATATTTGTGCGTCTGTAACTTTCTCACTTATCATTATTCACGATTCATTCAGGATTATCTGTAATCATGATAGCATCCACATTAATGTGGGACCAAATACTTAACTTTTACTATTTTGATACACATAAGTGTATTTGTCCCAATAATTTGGGATCCCTAAAATGGGGGGACGATATACAAATAGTGCTGTACTTTGTAAACGGTTCACCTAATATGGATGAAAATGCCCTCAAATTAAAGCTAACAGTATGCACTTGAACCTCATAGTTATTGTATCATTTCAAATCCAAAGTGCTGGAGTACAGAGCCAAAACAAAGCTCACTGTATATACAGTGCCAGTCAAAAGTTTGGACACACCTACTAATTCCATGGTTTTTCTTTATTTCTACATTGTAGAATAATAGTGAAGACATCAAAACTATGAAATAACACATATGGAATCATGTAGTAACCAAAAAAGTGTTAAAACTTTTCCTTCACTCTGTGGTCCAACTCATCCCAAACCATTTCAATTGGGTTGAGGTCAGGTGATTGTGGAGGCCAGGTCATCTGATGCAGTACTCCATCACTCTCCTTCTTGGTCAAATAGCCCTTACACTTGCTCGAGGTGAAATAGCCCTTACACTTGCTCCTGTTGAAAAACAAATGATAGTCCCACTAAGCGCAAACCAGACGGGATGGCGTATCGCTGCAGAATGCTGTGGTAGCCATGCTGGTTAAGTGTGCCTTGAATTCTAAATAAATCACAGACAGTGTCACCAGCAAAGCACCCCCACACCATCACACCTCTTTCTCCATGCTTCATGGTGGGAACCACACATGCGGAGATCATCCGTTCACCTATTCTGCGTCTCACAAAGACACAGCGATTGGAACCAAAATCTCAAATTTGGACTCATCAGACCAAAGGACAGATTTCCACCGGTCTAATGTCCATTGCTTGTGTTGCTTGGCCCAAACAAGTCACTTCTTATTATTGGTGTCCTTTAGTAGTGGTTTCTTTGCAGCAATTCGACCATGAAGGCCTAATTCACGCAGTCCCCTCTGAACAGTTGATGTTGAGATGTGTCTGTTACTTGAACTCTGTGAAGCATTTATTTGGGCTGCAATTTCCTGAGGCTGGTAACTCTAATGAATTTATCCTCTGCAGCAGAGGTAACTCTGGTTCTTCCTTTCCTGTGCCGGTCCTCATGAGAGCCAGTTTCATCAGAGCGCTTGATGGTTTTTGCGACTGCACTTTAAGAAACTTTCAAAGTTCTTGAAATGTTCCGTATTGACTGACCTTCATGTTCCGTATTGATGGACTGTCATTTCTCTTTGCTTATTTGAGCTGTTCTTGCCATAATATGGACTTGGTCTTCTGTATACAACCCCTCCCTTGTCACAACACAACTGATTGGCTCAAACAAATTAACTTTTAACACGGCACACCTGTTAATTGAAATGCAGTCCAGGTGACTACCTCATGAAGCTGGTTGAGAGAATGCCAAGAGTGTGCAAAGCTGTCATCAAGGCAAAGGGTGGCTACTTTGATGAATCTAAAATCAAAAATATATTTTGATTTGTTTAACACTTTATTGGTTACTACATAATTCCATATGTGTTATTTCATAGTTTTGATGTCTTCACTATTATTCTACAATGTAGAACATTTTAAAAAATAAAGAAAAACCCTGGAATGAGTAGGTGTGTCCAAACTTTTGACTGGTACGGTATATATGTATAAGTGAAATGAATTGAGTATACAGTGATCAGATGTGATCAACATACTGTATGACAGAAATTATGTTTCATACAGATCTGATATCTTAATATGATCACTCTGTTGTCGCAGAAAATGTTCCTGCATAGCAGGAAATGCAAATTGTAGTGTATTCAAGGTTTAAAAAGGCTTTTAAAGATAGTAATTTCCACTTTTAAAAATGTCAGACATGATTTGCCCTAACGAAAAACCTATCAACCCCTACAAAAATGTCATTAATTATAATCCACATAATAATTCAAATTTCCTGTTGCTGCAGGATTATTTTCCTGCTGCGAGAAGCAGGGTCAAATTAAGATAGCGCATTTGTAGCTCTTCATTGTTTACCTGGCTCTGGTTAGCGCTGGTGCGTGCTGAGAAGTTGATAAAGAAGGGCAGGTAGCGGTCCTTGTCCAGGTTGTTCATGAGTTTCTCCTTCACGTACACAGACTTCCCCGTCCCAGTGGGCCCCACAAACAGCAATGGCCTTCACAGAGACAGACATATGATAAGTGGCTGTTTTACAATATAACGCACCAACTGAATTTAATGATCTGTGAAACCATAATGCAAGTGCAAGTGCGTTAACAAATTACATCCCCATTGGTCTGGGTGTGTTGACGCACACTTACACTCCATAGTCGATGCAGAGGTCCATGAGGTAGGTGTATCGGACCGTGTCTATGGTAGGGACGATGATATCCTGCACTTTGGTGTTCTTGTCCCCCAGATTGACGTTCTTAATCGAGTCGGTCCAGTGCACCCAGCGACCTTTCCCTTTAAACTGTGAAAAAAAAGAAAGTATTCATAGTAACTGAAAAATACTGTTTTACACTGCAGAAGCCTTTTTGACCAGGGGAATGTTACACACCTCGTAGTAATAGTCGTAGACCAGACCCTTCTCATCGTGGGGACATTCCCATTTGGACACGGAAGCGGGGATGGGGTGGTTGTCTGCCTTCCCTAAGATGATGTCTCTGAGGTACTCATCAAACCTCTTCCTGCTGTCCGTATCACAGCTTCCCCCCACTGACCACACCAGGGAGAAGGCAAAGGCTGCCTGGCACAGAGAAAGGGATGGAGATGAGCGGAGTATGTTGATTTCTGTCATTTCAATTCAGCATAGCCACGCACAGCAGTACTTTGTTTAATCTCTTACCATGACCCAAGTCCGTATGTTTTTGTACCCTGTGTCCTCCTTCAAAGGTTGGGTGAGCAGCATTTCAAAGAGGCGAGTCAGGGACACCACTGTGTTGCTGTTGCTGGTGGGGACAACCTCCTAGAACATATGAAAGCAATCAGACATGTTATAGAGCTTGTAAACAATGTATATATACAGTACCAGTCAAAGGTTTGGACCCACCTACTCATTCCAGGGTTTTTCTTTATGTTTACTATTTTCTACATTATAGAATAATAGTGAAGACATCAAAACTATGGAATAACACATATGGAATCATGTAGTAACCAAAAAATAGTTAAACAAATCCAAATATATTTTATATTTGAGATTCTTCAAAGTAGCCACCATTTGCCTTGATGACAGCTTTGCACACTCTTGGCATTCTCTCAACCAGCTTCATGAGGTAGTCCCCTGGAAAGCATTTCAATTAACAGGTGTGCCTTGTTAAAAGTTAATTTGTGGAATTTCTTTCCTTCTTAATGCGTTTGATCCAATCAGTTGTGTTGTGACAAGGTAGGGGTGGTATACAGAAGATAGCCCTACTTGGTAAAAGACGAAGTCCATATTATTGCAAGAACAGCTCAAATAAGCAAAGAGAAACGACAGTCCATCATTACTTTAAGACATGAAGGTCAGTCAATACGGAACATTTCAAGAACTTTGAACGTTTCTTCAAGTGCAGTCGCAAAAACCATCAAGCGCTATGATGAAACTGGCTCTCATGAGGACCGCCACAGGAAAGGAAGACCCAGAGTTACCTCTGCTGCAGAGGATAAGTTCATTAGAGTTAACTGCCCCTCAGATTGCAGCCCAAATAAATGCTTCACAGAGTTCAAGTAACAGACACATCTCAACATCAACTGTTCAGAGGAGACTGCTTGAATCAGGCCTTCATGGTCAAATTGCTGCAAAGAAACCACTACTAAAGGACACCAATAATAAGAAGAGACTTGCTTGGGCCAAGAAACATTTTACATTACATTTTACGTCATTTAGCAGACGCTCTTATCCAGAGCGACTTACAGTTAGTGCATAAAAAATTTTCTCTCCATGCTGGCCCCCCGTGGGAATCGAACCCACAACCCTGGCGTTGCAAACGCCATGCTCTACCAACTGAGCTACATCCCTGCCGGCCATTCCCTCCCCTACCCTGGACGACGCTGGGCCAATTGTGCGCTGCCCCATGGGTCTCCCGGTTGCGGCCGGCTACGACAGAGCCTGGATTGGTTGTTCTTATCGACTGTAGGTGTATAATAATGTAATGCCACTATCTGGTTGTCCCCCTTGTCCGGGCCCTCAGGTGTACACAGGTGGCTGGGGTGACCTGGACGGGGTGATCCGCTGCCAGGTGGGGGAGGTGCTGCACTATGAGCTGGGAGAGGAACCGAAGCCCAGGAGAGAGGCTGCGGTCTTCGACAAACCCACCCGCGGAACGTCTGTGGAGAAGTTCCGCGAGATGGTTTTCAATCACCTCAAGGTATTGGAACTATTGCTGCTTTGACTTCAGCAGATACTGTCACAATAATCAGCATAAGTTTTAACAAGGATTTTTGTCTTCATCGAAGGCATTTGTTGCTTTGGTTATTTATTTCACCAACATTTTTACTGAAATCTCTGCATAGTTTATAGAGGATACCAGCTAAACCGCTCTTCTTCTCCTTCCTCCCCCTCTCTCTCCACTTCCTCCCCCTCTCTCTCCACTTCCTCCCCCATCTCCAGTCAAAGCTGGGTGAGCAGGCTAGTCTGGCCAGCCTGGTGACCCAAATCCTCAGCGTCGCTGACGGCAACAAGGACGGCCACGTCTCGCTCCCAGAGGCCCGTTCAGCCTGGGCTCTTCTCCAGTTGGATGAGGTGCTGCTGGGGCTGCTCCTCCAGGAACGGGGCCACACCCCCCGTCTGATGGGCTTCTGTGGAGACCTGTACATGACCGAGAGGGTACCCTATGGCCCCCTTTACGGTGTCAGCCTCCCCTGGCTCCTGGAGGCCTGGGTCCCCAGTGGGGCCCGACGCAGCATGGACCAGTGGTTCACCCCCTCGTGGCCCCGCAAGGCCAAGATCTCCATGGGCCTCCTGGAGCTGGTAGAGGACATCTTCCACGGCAACTATGGCAGCTTCCTCATGTGCGACCTGAGCGCCGACCACTTCGGCTACACGGACCGCCACGACTTCCGCCTCACCGACCCGAGGGCCATCATCTCTGAGGACGCGTTCAGGCGAACCATGCGCGCGCTGCACTGCGAGAAGGACGACGACTGCGTGTTGGGGGCGGACTGCCGTACGTCATGCGATGTCGCTCAGAGACGATGCAGGGAGGAGGTGACCCAGCCCAACCTAGACATTAGACCGGTGGAAATCTGTCCTTTGGTCTGATGAGTCAAAATTTGAGATTTTGGTTCCAACCTAAAGACACGGTCTTTGTGAGACGCAGAGTAGGTGAACGGATGATCTCCTCATGTGTGGTTCCCAGCGTGAAGCATGGAGAAAGAGGTGTGATGGTGTGGGGGTGCTTTGCTGGTGACACTGTCTGTGATTTATTTAGAATTCAAGGCACACTTAACCAGCATGGCTACCACAGCATTCTGCAGCGATACGCCATCCCATCTGGTTTGCGCTTAGTGGGACAATCATTTGTTTTTCAACAGGACAATGACCCAAAACACACCTCGAGCAAGTGTAAGGGCTATATGACCAAGAAGGAGAGTGATGGAGTGCTGCATCAGATGACCTGGCCTCCACAATCACCCGACCTCAACCCAATTGAGATGGTTTGGGATGAGTTGGGCCGCAGAGTGAAGGAAAAGCAGCCAACAAGTGCTCAGCATATGTGGGAACTCCTTCAAGACTGTTGGAAAAGCTGAAGGCTGAAGGATGAAGCTGGTTGAGAAAATGCCAAGAGTGTGCAAAGCTATCATCAAGGCAAAGGGTGGCTACTTTGAAGAATATAAAATATAAAATATATATTTTGATTCGTTTAACACTTTTTTGGTTCCTACATGATTACATATGTGTAATTTCATAGTTTTGATGTCTTAACTATTATTATACAATGTAGAAAATAGTAAAAAGAAAGAAAACCCTTGAATGAGTAGGTGTGTCCAAACTTTTGACCGGTACTGTATATACATAGATATATATATCTATTTACAGTGAGGGAAAAAAGTATTTGATCCCCTGCTGATTTTGTACGTTTGCCCACTGACAAAAAAATGATCAGTCTATAATTTTAATGGTAGGATTATTTGAACAGTGAGAGACAGAATTACAACAAAAGAATCCTGAAAAACGCATGTTATAAATTGATTTGCATTTTAATGAGGGAAATAAGTATTTGACCCCCTCTCAATCAGAAAGATTTCTGGCTCCCAGGTGTCTTTTATACAGGTAACGAGCTGAGATTAGGAGCACACTCTTAAAGGGAGTGCTCCTAATCTCAGCTTGTTACCTGTATAAAAGACACCTGTCCACAGAAGCAATTAATCAATCAGATTCCAAATTATCCACCATGGCCAAGACCAAAGAGCTCTCCAAGGATGTCAGGGACAAGATTGTAGACCTACACAAGGCTGGAAAGGGCTCCAAAACCATCGCCAAGCAGTTGGTGAGAAGGTGACAACAGTTGGTGTGATTATTCGCAAATGGAACTGTCAATCTCCCTCGGCCTGGGGCTCCATGCAAGATCTCACCTCGTGGAGTTGCAATGTTCAGCCCAGAACTACACGGGAGGAACTTGTCAATGATCTCAAGGCAGCTGGGACCATAGTCACCAAGAAAACAATTGTTAACACACTACACCGTGAAGGACTGAAATCCTGCAGTGCCCACAAGGTCCCCCTGCTCAAGAAAGCACATATACAGGGCCGTCTGAAGTTGTCAATGAACATCTGAATGATTCAGAGGAGAACTGGGTAAATGTGTTGTGGTCAGATGAGACCAAAATCGAGCTCTTTGGCATCAACTCAACTCGCCGTGTTTGGAGGAGGAGGAATGCTGCCTATGACCCCAAGAACACCATCCCCACCGTCAAACATGGAGGTGGAAACATTATGCTTTGGGGGTGTTTTTCTGCTAAGGGGACAGGACAACTTCACCGCATCAAAGGGACGATGGACAGGGCCATGTACCGTCAAATCTTGGGTGAGAACCTCCTTCCCTCAGCCAGGGCATTGAAAATGGGTCGTGGATGGGTATTCCAGCATGACAATGACCAAAAACACACGGCCAAGGCGACAAAGGAGTGGCTCAAGAAGAAGCACATTAAGGTCCTGGAGTGGCCTAGCCAGTCTCCAGACCTTAATCCCATAGAAAATCTGTGGAGGGAGCTGAAGGTTTGAGTTGCCAAACGTCAGCCTCGAAACCTTAATGACTTGGAGAAGATCTGCAAAGAGGAGTGGGACAAAATCCCTCCTGAGATGTGTGCAAACCTGGTGGCCAACTACAAGAAACGTCTGACCTCTGTGATTGCCAACAACGGTTTTGCCACCAAGAACTAAGTCATGTTTTGCAGAGGGGTCAAATACTTATTTCCCTCATTAAAATGCAAATCAATTCATACATTTTCGACATGCGTTTTTCTGGATTTTTTTGTTGTTATTCTGTCTCTCACTGTTCAAATAAACCTACCGTTAAAAGTATAGACTGATCATTTCTTTGTCAGTGGTGAAACGTACAAAATCAGCAGGGGATCAAATACTTTTTTCCCTCACTGTATATATATACTGTGGTGCAGGGAAATAGCCGATAAACAGGATCAAACTCCAATGGATGCTTCTGGACCACCCACCCTGCACTGTTTGCGCAGCATCCTGAGGGAGGGGGGTAGCAGCCAGTGGAAGAGCTCCATGAGCAGGCCTGTGTTGTCTGGCACCTGCAGGGGCTCTGGCAGTGTATTGATCCAGGAGGCCACCAGGGGTTCCCAGCCCAGCTGAGAGGGCTCCATGTAGATCATACCACACCTGCTCACTGTCGCCGGCTGGGGAGGGGAGGGATAGACTTACAGATTACTGATTAGTGAAACATAGCCGGACAAGTGTGTTGATGGCTTGTTGACTTACAGAGGCCTGAGACAGGTCCATGGCTTCAAAGATTAGACTCATCTGATTGGACATCTGGATGATCTCTCCACTCATCAAGCACAGCTGTGGGAGAGAAGGAAGCATACAGCAAGTAGTTACAGTTGCTTTATGCGTACTCCTGGTATGTCATTAAGTCATTATATTGGATGATCTTTGTTGTGGACTCATATTCTTGCCTTCTTGTTGTCGTCGAGCACAGTGTTCATGCTCTCAATCCACAGTGTGTCTATAGGCCCGTCGAACACCACCCACTTACGGTCCGGGGTCTCAGACGACGCAAACTCACGAAACGTGTTGGCCACAATCCCATCTGCCCACTGAGTAACACCAACAGAGACAGGGAGAGAGAAAATAAAAAAACTCAAACACAACGTAAGGTACAGTCCAAAACAGCAAAACCATTGGCGTAAAAAAATAAATAAGAAGAATAAATAAAGATTGATATTCAAAGATAGTCTGAATATATGATTGTAATGATGTGAGAGGAATATGAATATTCCAGGGTTGAGCCCCACCTCGTGGGAGACTGGGTCAAACTCTCCAAACAGCTGTCCCATTGTGATGGCCTTGGGGTTGACCGTACGGTAGAGGACCCTCTCCTCCTCGTTGTAACCCCTCTCGTTCATCAGGGTCAGGGTGTCGGCCAGGACGTGGAGGACTTTGGTCTTGCCAGCAAACGGCTCTCCTACCAGCATAAATCTGAGATACACACCAGTAGGGGCAATGTAAAAATTATTCAAAACAATATTCCATTCAACATTATCTTCTATCTATCATCATCATCGATCATTTAACGTGTATTTATTATTTATTCATCTTTAACTCTGCATGGTTGGAAAAGGCCCCGTAAGTAAGCATTTCACTGTTAGTCTACACCTACTGTTTACGAAGCATGTGACAAATAAAATTTGATTTGATTTGAACATGTAGGTACCAGTGAAGCTATGTCAGTTCCTTAAATTGACAGTGAATCAGGAGGATGTCACTACTTGACACCAACAAACGCCCCATAATATCTGACCCTCTGCCCTCCCTAAATCGTGGCATTGAACGGTTCAGCAGACTTTTAGCCCTCCATAACTGGCTATGAGACTATTGCAGCTCTGTGGGTGTAACATTTATTGACAATTTTGATACCTTCTGGAAACAACGCTTGTATTATAAGGAGGATGGGATCTACCCAAATCATTTGGGTTCCTGGATCCTTTCACAGCATTATAAGGCTGCGTTGAGACAATGACTTATCAATGACCCAAGCCCAGCTCATTTAATCCCTACCATTGTGTCGCTGAGTTGTCATAATGCTTCAGCAAATGTACATTATCCCAGGGGCATTGGAAGATACAATGTAAGTAACCTAATGTATGTCCCTCTTACTGCCCTGAATGCCTCTGCTGATCCCACAGATATTGTATGCAGTAATCATGTGCCTATGAACCAGAGTGATACTGTTAGCACTGAGGCGGTGTGCCCTAGTAGGAAGTCCACTGTGTGCAGCTCACCCTGCACCAACATAAGTAACATGAGCATGTCTACCTCTGCTAAGCTTCCCAGTAAAGCAATAAAAACAATCAAGCATCCCAGAAAAGTGCTAAAAATAGCCCACGTTAACATACAGTGGGGAGAACAAGTATTTGATACCCTGCCGATTTTGCAGGTTTTCCTACTTACAAAGCATGTAGAGGTCTGTAATTTGTATCATATGTACACTTCAACTGTGAGAGACGGAATCTAAAACAAAAATCCAGAAAATCACATTGTATGATTTTTAACCCTCCCGTTGTCCTAGGGTCAAAATGACCCGCCACTGTGTTGAACCAACTTTATTTAATTTTTATATTTTTTGGATCATTTGTGAGAAGGAGGCAGTGATACTTTCTTTAAAGTCTCACTGCCTCCTTCTCACAAATGATCCCCAAAAAATTAAAAATAAATAAAGTTGGTTCAACACAGTGGCGGGTCATTTTGACCCTAGGACAACGGGAGGGTTAAGTAATTAATTTTCATTTTATTGCATGACATAAGTATTTGATATATCAGAAAAGCAGAACTTATTATTTGGTACAGAAACCTTTGTTTGCAATTACAGAGATCATACGTTTCCTGTAGGTCTTGACCAGGTTTGCACACACTGCAGCAGGGATTTTGGCCCACTCCTCCATACAGACCTTCTCCAGATCCTTCAGGTTTCGGGGCTGTCGCTGGGCAATACGGACTTTCAGCTCCCTCCAAAGATTTTCTATTGGGTTCAGGTCTGGAGACTGGCTAGGCCACTCCAGGACCTTGAGATGCTTCTTACGGAGCCACTCCTTAGTTGCCCTGGCTGTGTGTTTTGGGTCGTTGTCATGCTGGAAGACCCAGCCACGACCCATCTTCAATGCTCTTACTGAGGGAAGGAGGTTGTTGGCCAAGATCTCGCGATACATAGCCCCATCCATCCTCCCCTCAATACGGTGCAGTCGTCCTGTCCCCTTTGCAGAAAAGCATCCCCAAAGAATGATGTTTCCACCTCCATGGTTGGTTGGGATGGTGTTCTTGGGGTTGTACTCATCCTTCTTCTTCCTCCAAACACGGCGAGTGGAGTTTAGACCAAAAAGCTCTATTTTTGTCTCATCAGACCACATGACCTTCTCCCATTCCTCCTCCGGATCATCCAGATGGTCATTGGCAAACTTCAGACGGGCCTGGACATGCGCTGGCTTGAGCAGGGGAACATTGCGTGCGCTGCAGGATTTTAATCCATGACGGCGTAGTGTGTTACTAATGGTTTTCTTTGAGACTGTGGTCCCAGCTCTCTTCAGGTCATTGACCAGGTCCTGCCGTGTAGTTCTGGGCTGATCCCTCACCTTCCTCATGATCATTGATGCCCCACGAGGTGAGATCTTGCATGGAGCCCCAGACCAAGGGTGATTGACCGTCATCTTGAACTTCTTCCATTTTCTAATAATTGCGCCAACAGTTGTCTTCTCACCAAGCTGCTTGCCTATTGTCCTGTAGCCCATCCCAGCCTTGTGCAGGTCTACAATTTTATCCCTGATGTCCTTACACAGCTCTCTGGTCTTGGCCATTGTGGAGAGGTTGGAGTCTGTTTGATTGAGTGTGTGGACAGGTGTCTTTTATACAGGTAACGAGTTCAAACAGGTGCAGTTAATACAGGTAATGAGTGGAGAACAGGAGGGCTTCTTAAATAAAAACTAACAGGTCTGTGAGAGCCAGAATTCTTACTGGTTGGTAGGTGATCAAATACTTATGTCATGCAATAAAATGCAAATTAATTACTTAAAAATCATACAATGTGATTTTCTGGATTTTCGTCTCTCATAGTTGAAGTGTACCTATGATAAAAATTACAGACCTCTACATGCTTTGTAAGTAGGAAAACCTTCAAAATCGGCAGTGTATCAAATACTTGTTCTCCCCACTGTACGTAGCTTAAGAAACAAGGTTCATGAAATCAATAATTTGCTAGTAACAGATTACATTCATATTCTGGCAATCTCTGAAACTCACTTAGATAATACCTTTGATGATACAGTGGTAGCAATACATTGTTATAAGATCTACAGAAAATACAGAAATGCCAAAGGTGGAGGTGTGGCCGTTTATATTCAGAACCACATTCCTGTAAAGCTTAAAGAGGATCTCATGTTAAATACTGTTGAAGTAATATGGCTACAGGTTCATCTTCCTCACCTAAAGCCCATTCGGGTTGGAAGCTGCTATAGACCACCAAGTGCTAACAGTCAGTATCTGGATAACATGTGTGAAATGCTTGATAATGTATGTGATATCAACAGAGAGGTATATTTTCTGGGTGATTTAAATATTGACTGGCTTTCATCAGGCTCAAGAGAAAGCTTCAAACTGTAACTATTGCCTGCAACCTGGTTCAGGTTATCAGTCAACCTACCAGGGTAGTTACAAACAGCACAGGAATGAAATCATCAACATGTATTGATCACATCTTTACTAAAGCTGCAGAAATGTGCTTTAAAGCAGCATTCAAATCCATCGGAAGTAGTGATCACAATATAGTAGCCATATCTAGGAAAACCAAAGTTCCAAAGGCTGGGCCTAATATAGTGTATAAGAGGTCATACAATACGTTTTGTAGTGATTCCTATGTTGTTGATGTAAATAATATTTGTTGGTCCGTGGGGTGTAATGACAAGCAACCAGACGCTGTACTTTACACATTTATGAAATTGCTTATCCCAGTTACTAATAAGCATGCACCAATTAAGAAAATGACTGTAAAAACTGTTAAATCCCTGTGGATTGATAAGGAATTGAAAAATGGTATGGTTGAGAGGGATGAGGCAAAAGGAATGGCAAATAAGTCTGGCTGCACAACCGATTGGCAAACGTACTGCAAATTGAGAAATCATGTGACTAAACTGAATAAAAAGAAGAAACTACACTATGAAACAAAGATAAATTACATCATTCATTGAATTAGATGGCTCATTCATCACAAAACCCACTGATATTGCCAACTACATTAATTATTTTTTCATTGGCAGGATTAGCAAAGTTAGGCATGCCAGCAACAAACGCTGACTATACATCCAGGTATATCTGACCAAACTATGAAAGACAAGCATTGTAATTTAGAATTCCATAAAGTGAGTGTGGAAGAGGTGAAAAATCACAAGCCACCGGGGTCTGACAACTTGGATGGAAAATTACTGAAGATAATAGCGGACGATATTGCCACTCTTATTTGCCATATCTTCAATTTAAGCCTACTAGAAAGTGTGTGCCCTCAGGCCTGGAGGGAATCAAAAGTCATTCCGCTACCTAAGAATAGTAAACACCCCTTTACTGGCTCAAACAGCCGACCAATCAGCCTGTTACCAACCCTTAGTAAACGTTTAGAAAAAATATAGTTTGACCAGATACAATGCTATTTTACAATAAACAAATTGACAACAGACTTTCAGCATGCTTGTAGGGAAGGACATTCAACAAGCACAGCACTTACACAAATGACTGATGATTGGCTGAGAGAAATTGATGATAAAATATTGTGGGGGCTGTTTTGTTAGACTTCAGTGCAGCTTTTTACATTATCAATCAGAGTATGCTGCTGGATAAAAGTATGTGTCATGGCTTTACACCCCCTGCTATATTGTGGATAAAGAGTTACCTGTCTAACAGAACACAGAGGGTGTTCTTTAATGGAAGCCTCTCCAACATAATCCAGGTAGAATCAGGAATTCCCCAAGGCAGCTGTCTAGGCCCCTTACTTTTTTCAATCTTTACTAACGACATGCCACTGGTTTTGAGTAACACTATACACGTCAGTTACTACAGCGACTGAAATGACTGCAACACTTAACAAAGAGCTGCAGTTAGTTTCAGAATGGGTTAGTCCTAAATATTTCAAAAACGAAAAGCATTGTATTTGGGACAAATCATTCACTAAACCCTAAACCTCAACTAAATCTTGTAATGAATAATGTGGAAGTTGACCAAGTTGAGGTGACTAAACTGCTTGGAGTAACCCTGGATTGTAAGCCGTCAAGGTCAAAACATATTGATACAACAGTAGCTAAGATTGGGAGAAGTCTGTCCATAATAAAGCGCTGCTCTGCCTTCTTAACAGCACTATCAACAAGGCAGGTCCTACAGGCCCTAGTTTTGTCGCAGAGAGCTAACATTAATAATATGCATGTCAATCTCTCCTGTCTCAAAGTAGAGGAGAGATTGACTTCATCACTACTTGTATTTGTGAAAGGCATTGACATGTTGAATCGGACACCCATGCATACCCCACAAGACATGCCACCAGAGGTCTCTTCACAGTCCCCAAGTCCAGAACAGATTATGGGAGGCGCACAGTACTACATAGAGCCATGACTACAAGGAACTCTATTCCACATCAAGTAACTCATGCAAGCTGTAAAATTAGATTAAAAAACAGATTAAAATACACCTTATGGAACAGCGGGGACAGTGAAGCAACACAAACATAGTCTCAGACACATGCAAACACACACACGATAACATACGCACTATACACACACGTAACCATGGATTTTGTGTTGTTGATATGTGGTAGTAGAATAGGGGCCTGAGGGCACACACTTAATGTGTTGTGAAATCTGTTGTGAATGTATTATAACGTTTTTATAATTGTAGAACTGCTACTCAGGAAGAGTAGCTGCTGCCTTGGCAGCAGCTAATGGGGATCCATAATAAATACAAATACCTATGAGATGCAACTTAGATTGAGTTTCGGTTCAGAAAGAAAATAAAGGACGCAGCTTGAAAAAGCGTACCCATGACGGACGATCATCATCTCATAGGTCTGTATGATCTTCTCCTTGAAGACCTCAGCTGGCTGCACGTTGTGGTTCTTACAGCACTCCTCAGCACACGCCAGAAACAGCTGGGAAACACATGACGGATGGCAGACATTTAAATATACAAACATACAACATCAACATCTTCTATCAACACAGAGTACATAAAAACCAAGCAAGGAAAATCCCAACCTGATAGTCTGCCACAGGGAGAAAGATACCGGGGAACAGGTCACTGGTGATTCCATTGAAAAGGGGGATGTCATGGGAGAGAAACTTGGGCTCATTCACATCCTTGATGGACCTCAGGAGCTGGTAGTGACGAAAACATAGAACATTCAACATGAGCGACTATTCTTTCATTACTTTTTAACTATACCATGTATACATAATAACATATCAATGTCAGTCAACTTTTCTAGACACACCAGTATGTCCTCATTCTCATCTGGGAACTTGAGTTTGAGGTTCCCTGCGGCCACCAGTACAGCTTTGACGGCCCTCATGCCATAGTCATAATGGAACTGGGAGGAGAGCTGCTCAGAGCAGAGTCTGTAAGTCATCACAATCTTCACTGACAGGGGCTTGGCATTCAGGAAGCCATAGGAGTACAGGGAGATCTCTGCTATCAGGGCGTAGTTAGGCACCATCATGGCCACGGTTCTGAACAACACCTGTTGTAGATGAATGGGAGTGAAGTACTGTTGAATCAACATGGATTTTTAAAATCAATCTATTGCATAGGATCAAGAGTGTAGCCTCCTCTGTACCTTGAGGTTGTCCGGGAGCTCTGAGCGTCCAGCATAGCCTGGGTTCATGGTGATGGCCACGAAGCAGTTGGGGTTGAGTTTGAGCAAGGTGCCCTCAAAGTCAAAGTACTCCAGCTTCAACTCAATGGCCCTCTGGATGCACAGGACTTGCTGGGCCACCACAGACAGTACCTCTAGCTCAATGCGGTTAAATTCGTCAAAACAGGCCCAGGCACCCGAAGACGCAAGGCCTTTGAAGAACTGAGAGACAGAAAGACAGAGATGAAGGTGCACTATCGCCATATATAATAAAGACCACACGTGTAGTAAACAGAGATTGAACATTGATTGACATTCACTGTTATTCCAAGCCTCAGTTACCTTCCCCATAGCCAGGTAATCCAGGCCGTCAGAGCAGTTGAAGACCACACACTGCACGGCCAGGGCTTTGGCCAAGTCCTTGGTGGTCTCAGTCTTCCCCGTCCCTGCCGGACCCTCGGGGGCTCCCCCAAGACTCAGGTAGAACGCCCCGATCTAAGACATAAAGTAAAAATATAAAATGTTAGTCTAAAGTTTGGAAGTGACCTGAGTGAGAAATCTTTCAGACTACATGTTTCTCGGGGTGGTTTACCAGTGTGCGGTAGCATCTGTCTGTCAATGGCGTGATGACCAGTCGAGGGGAGTTTCCCAGGTACTCGTAGGCGTACTTGACGTCACAGTTGATGATGCGTACACGCACATTGTCGTTGACCCAGTAGTAGCGGAGCTGAGCCAACCACTGGAAGTCTGTTTCATGGGACACACCTGTCATAGAATAACAGGAAAATTAGGGCCGGGACAACACCAGTTTCGCAACACTCGTTAGTATCGTGGCAAAGAAACAAAACACATTAGCTGATTTAATTTCTTTAGGAAAACATCCCTAATGTTGGAAACAAACATCATTGTCATCCAGTCACATTTGTTTATTTTCCAAGCTATATCACACAAATTGTTACATACAGCAAGTTTTTAAAGGACCAAAGAGTTTGGTCTGCTTCGTGATACATTTTCTGGCATGGAAAAAATATTGCGATATTGGTATCTATCTTCACAGCCCTAAGGAAAATAATACACTATATTTGTTTATTTATTTGTTTGGTTGTTCGTCAAAAATCTCTTCCCAACTATTTTGCAATCTATATGGGATGGCTGTCAATCCTTTGGTCCTTAAATGAAACTGGTATCTATAAAATCAATAACGGAAAAGTGGTGCGTGCATATGTATTCACCCCCTTTGCTATGAGGCCCCTGAAAAAGATCTGGTGCAACCAATTACCTTCAGAAGTCACATAATTAGTTAAAGTTAAAGTCCACCTGTGTGCAATCTAAGCGTCACATGATCTCAGTATATACAGTTGAAGTCGGAAGTTTACATACACTTAGGGTGGAGTCATTAAAACTCGTTTTTCAACCACTCCACAAATTTCTTGTTAACAAACTATATTTTTGGCAAGTCGGTTAGGACATCTACTTTGTGCATGACACAAGTAATTTTTACAACAATTGTTTACAGACAGATTATTTCACTTATAATTCACTGTATCACAATTCCAGTGGGTCAGAAATGTACATACACTAAGTTGACTGTGCCGTTAAACAGCTTGGAAAATTTCAGAAAATGATGTCATGGCTTTAGAAGCTTCTGATAGGCTAATTGACATAATTTGAGTCAATTGGAGGTGTACCTGTGGATGTATTTTAAGGCCTACCTTCAAACTCAGTGCCTCTTTGCTTGACATCATGGGAAAATCTAAAGAAATCAGCCAAGACCTCAGAAAAAAAATGGTAGACCTCCACAAGTCTGATTCATCCTTGGGAGCAATTTCCAAACACCTGAAGGTACCACGTTCATCTGTACAAACAATAGTACGCAAGTATAAACACCATGGGACCACGCAGCCGTTACACCGCTCAGGAAGGAGACGCGTTGTCTCCTAGAGATGAACGTACGTTGGTGCGAAAAGTGCAAATCAATCCCAGAACAACAGCAAAGGACCTTGTGAAGATGCTGGAGGAAACAGGTACAAAAGTATTTATATCCACAGTAAAACAAGTCCTATACCACCATAAAAAAGCCAGACTACAGTTTGCTGCACATGGGGACAAAGATCGTACTTTTTTGAGAAATGTCCTCTGGTCTGATGAAACAAAAATAGAACTGTTTGGCCATAATGACCATCGTTATGTTTGGAGGAAAAAGGGAAAAGCTTGCAAGCCGAAGAACACCATCCTAATCGTGAAGCACGGGGGTGGCAGCATCATGCTGTGGGGGTGCTTTGCTGCAGGAGGGACTGGTGCACTTCACAAAATAGATGGCATCATGAGGAAGGAAAATTATGTGGATATATTGAAGCAACATCTCAAGACATCAGTCAGGAAGTTAAAGCTTGGTCGCAAATGGGTCTTCCAAATGGACAATGACCCCAATCATACTTCCAAAGTTGTGGCAAAATGGCTTAAGGACAACAAAGTCAAGGTATTGGAGTGGCCATCACAAAGCCCTGACCTCAATCCTATCGAAAGTTTGTGGGCAGAACTGAAAAAGCGTGTGCGAGCAAGGAGGCCTACAAATCTGACTCAGTTACACCAGCTCTGTCAGGAGGAATGGGCCAAAATTCACCCAACTTATTGTGGGAAGGTTGTGGAAGGCTACCCAAAACGTTTGACCCAAGTTAAACAATTTAAAGGCAATGCTACCAAATACTAATTGAGTGTATGTAAACGTCTAACCCACTGGGAATGTGATTACTATAAAAATGAAAGAAATAAAAGCTGAAATAAACAGATCAGGGTTGGGTTATAAAACAATATCCGAAACATTGAACATCCCACGGAGCACCATTAAATCCCTTATTAAAAAATGGAAAGAATATGGCACTACAACAAACCTGCCAAGAGAGGGCAGCCCACCAAAACTCACAGACCACGCAAGGAGGGCATTAATCAGAGAGGCAACAAAGAGACCAAAGATAACCCTGAAGGAGCTGCAAAGCTCCACAGAGGAGATTGGAGTATCTGTCCATAGGACCACTTTAAGCGTACACTCCACAGAGCTGGCCTTTACGGAAGAGTGGCCAGAAAAAAGCCATTACTTAAAGAATAAAATAAGCAAACACGTTTGGTGTTCGCCAAAAGGCATGTGGGAGACTCCCCAAACTAAAATTGAGCTTTTTGGCTATCAAGGAAAACGCTATGTCTGGTGCAAACCCAACAACTCTCATCACCCCGAGAACACCATCCCCACAGTGAAGCATGGTGGTGGCAGCATCATGCTGTGGAGATGTTTTTCCATCGGCTGGGACTGGGAAACTGGTCAGAATTGAAGGAATGATGGATGGTGCTAAATACAGGGAAATTCTTGAGGGAAACCTGTTGCAGTCTTCCAGAGATTTGAGACTGGGACGGAGGTTCACCTTCCAGCAGGACAATGACCCTAAGCATACTGCTAAAGCAACACACGAGTCGTTTAAGGGGAAACATTTAAATGTCTTGGAATGGCCTAGTCAAAGCCCAGACCTCAATCCAATTGAGAATCTGTGGTATGACTTAAAGATTGCTGTACACCAGCGGAACCCATCCAACCTGAAGGAGCTGGAGCAGTTTTGCCTTGAAGAATGGGCAATAATCCCAGTGGCTAGATGTGCCAAGTTTATAGAGACATACCCGAAGGGACTTGCAGCTGTAACTGCTGCAAAAGGTGGCTCTATAAAGTATTGACTCAAGTTTTCTGTTTTTTGTCTTATTTCTTGTTTGTTTCACCCCAAAAAATATTTTGCATCTTCAAAGTGGTAGGCATGTTGTGTAAATCAAATGATACAAACCTTTAAGAAATCCATTTTAATTCTAGGTTGTAAGGCAACAAAATAGGAAAAATGCCAGGGGGGTGAATACTTTCACAAGCCACTGTATAGGCAATGCGCAGCACTTCGTTCAATTTATCGAATCAGTTATTGTTTTCTTGCTCAAACCGCGAGCAACACCTGTCAAACTCAGACATTTCTCTCAAAACACAGGGATTTCGATTCGCAGGGGTCTATTATTATCAGAGGAGTTTGGAGTTTACAAAAAAACAGTAGGTTATACTGGCTGGAATTGTTACTCTCCTGCCATGTAAAAATTACTGACATGGCAGATTCGGACGGGACAAAAATGTATTGGTGTTTTGTGCACATAATTACATTACCCAACCTCTATTCCCATCCGAATAGGGCTTTTGCTGCACCCTATTACCGGACAGTGATCAAGATGGGACAAGACCAGAGCCTGAACAACTAGTACAGTTGATTTTTGTGCCAAAAACGCAGAACATCTTTTTATAACTGACATACCCCTCCCCATCTTCACAACAACTTTGTCAATATGACTTGATCATGATAATTGACCATCCAATGTTATACCTAGGAGTTTAGCTTCCTCAACATGCTCAATGGTCACACCTTTTATGTAACAACTCCAGTTGAGGTTTAGGTCTTAGAGAAAGTTTTGAACCAAATACAATGCTTTTAGTTTTAGATGTATTTAAGACCAGTTTATTACTAATCACCCATTCTGATACTGACTGTAATTCCTTATTTAGAATTTCAGAGAGCTCACTGGCTTTGCGTGCTGACATGTAGAGTGTGGAATCACCCGCGTACATAGTCATTCTTGCTTCGTGTAAGACCAGTGGCAAATCATTTGTAAAAAAAAATATGAGAAAAGTAACGGCCTAAGGCAACTGCCCTGAGAGACACCGCACTGTACATTTCTGATATCAGTCCCATTTCCTTTCATGGTGTATATTATAATAGTATTGTAACAATTTACTAAAGCCTACTGAACATTACCTTTGTCTATCAGGTCCATCACCACATCCCTGGCGTGGACGTCGATGGTGACCAGAGCCCCTAGCGTGGTGCGAGTCTGCTTGGGCAGCTTGCCTCTCACCAGCTCCACTATGTCCTTCAGCTGGCTCTGCAACTGCTGGTAGTAATTCTTCAGACCCTAGAGAGAAATGCATTACTAAGTGTGTTGACTATCATACAAATCTCCTCAACTAAGTGGCAGTGTTTCCCCTAGGATTTTTTTCAGCAGTGATGGCAAGGGTAGCGGGGGTGGGTGGGGGTGTGGGGGTTGCATCGCTACTAGCGTTAGCGCAGTGACATGCTAGCTGTTTCCATAGACTTCCAGTCATTGAGCCAACGACTATCCATTTAAAAGCGCGTCTCGGCAGAAATATATATATATTGGGCCACCGCTGCTAAATGAATATAGAGGAAACACTGAAGTGGCCGTTTGAATTTCATGAGCATATGACATAGCTATATTTGGTATTTGTCATCATGGTAGAGATGACAGTGAGATGACAGTTATGTGTGTCCTGGTGCCCCTACCTGAACTCCTCCTCCGATGGCCTCATGGACCTCCAGGGTCCAGAAGATCTGAGAGGTGCAGAGCACTACCTGGCCGGGCCACTCCCTGACCCACTGACTCCTAGGGGTCTCACCGTAGGCCTACACACAGGAGGGAGGATGCAATCTCTCTTGGTAAGAACATCTTACGGATCATACAGTTTGGCATCATATTCTATTCTATCATACTGTATGGTAATAGTAGAATATCCAATTACACTATACGCTTTTGTCCTGTGTCCCATCATACCATACTTTATATTCATATGGTAGTGGTGGAGTAATCTCACCACTCTGGAGCGGGCCACCACGTCCCTGACGGAGCGCAGCATGATGTCCTCCACCTGCACCAGCCACTTCTCCACGGCTCCCCGCGCCTCCGAAGTGGAGATCAGCTGGATGAGCTGCACACGCTCCGCCTCACTGCTGTACATGGCCTGGAGGGATGGGTGGATGGATAGATAAATGGATGAAAAACCTCACTGCTTTTGTAGTAAATTAAGTTGACATGATCTGCTTCCACTGATCGATCTACTTGCCTGGATGTCCAGGTTAGGGAGGAAGTCCAGCTTGGCGATGCCCTCAAAGCACTTCTTCAGATGGGGCTGCACGCGCAACGGGTCCTTGGTCTCCGACAGAATCTCCAGCATCTCATCGTTGGACAGGAAGAAAAAGCTGGAGGTGGAGGAATGGGAGGGAGGTGGAGGAATGGGAGAGAGGGAAAGGAATTAAATCTGAATTCTTGCACAACTAGAGCCAAACATTTCAAAATACTGTACATTTCATTACCGAGGAAAGAAGAGACGTTTCTTCTCCAGGTATGCGTTCAGTCCCTTCATGATTTTATCCAGAAGGTTGTTGGAATCTTGGAGTCGTTCAAGCAGGCCGGGCAACGAAGTCGCTGACAATATCTGCAAAAATTAAAAATAGCTAAGTACATTCAAAGACATCCCTGATAAAGACTCCTTTATCCTCCCCATACTCGCACCTGTGAGGCCTAAAAGCTCCTACCTTGGGGTCCTTGACGCAGTGCCTCATGACCTCCTTCCAGTGCTTGTCGACAGTCTGGAAGAGCCGCCCCTCCTCAGGCATCTGCTGCATGATGTCCTCGGAGGAGAAGATGGGCTCCAGGTAGAGCCACTGGGCCTGCACCTTCAGCCACTCGTCTATGGTCTCCTGGATACGGATCAGACGCTCCTCCCACACCTCACACACAAAGAGGATCAGAGTAGGATCAAATCGCCCCTGGATGCTGTTCTAGGGTCAGCTTTGCGTTTTCTCCAATAATGGTAAAAGGTTAGGATTTGGGGGAGAGCACCTACAGGAAGCATTTATCAAGGGTGAGAAAGAGAGAGGAAGGACAATAAGTTTTGCTTTGACATAAAGCCCACCTTGATCTCACTCTCGAAGGGCTTGATGAAGGTTGAGCCCCTCATAGTCTGGGTCTTGACGATCTGGTCGTCCAGCATGGTCTGGATCTCGTCCACGGCGGTGAGGATGGACACCCCAGACTCCCTGTAGGGGTGGTGGTGGAAGGAGACTCCATCCCAAACCTCCACCATGGTCTGCATGGCCTTCTCCAGAGAAAACTCCTATAGGAGGAATTAAGATATTCATCATCCCTTTAAATAGGCTTTTCACACTAGAGCTTTTCAGTTCAGAGCATCCTTAGCTGTGGGCTATGCCATGTCACACAAGTCTATCTCATGAAATGATCCCCATTTCTCACCTTACTGGCAGCAGCACTGATGGTTTCAAACTGCTCGAGGTACGGGGCGAGGTTCTGCTTGAGCACTTTCCGCAGGGTGGTGCCAGAGTCAGGCGTGAGGTCGTAGTCCACAATGTCAGACATCTGAACCCAGTGGCGAGCCCTGATACCTGGGTTACACAGAATGGACACCGTGGGGATGTGCTCCTGTGAACAAAAACACATTAGCAGTAGAAGTTAAGTCATTAGGTCATACATCTACAGTATATTTATGGTCTTATAGCAGTGGTATTCAAACTTTTTCAGCGGGGACCCAGTTTTTGTTCATTTCATTGCATTTGTGTCCCTTATCAAAATGAAAAGAAACCAATAAACAAATTTACTCAACAAAATTGTATTTTTCAAATTATCGTTCTCAAAAACTTTTGTATATTGTCCCATACAATAGTCTGTAATCTTCATTTTTGTTCCTAGAAAATGTAGTTTTAATTCTGGCGACCCCACCGCAGTGACCCTGATTTTGAATACCACTGGTCTATAATCTAAACATCCATCATAACCCCACATACATCCCACCAACACTAAACAAAAGTTATCTCACATGGTAATTGTTTCCATGTGGTTACCTTGAAGTCCTTGACTTGCTCCATGACTGTGGAGCAGATGAGTGCAGTGGGGCGCTCCTGCTTCCCTGGGTCCTCCTCCCCGGGCCTCCTCTTCACCCCTCCTCCCACCATCTGCTCTGCCTTCTTCTGCTTCTGCTGGAAGAACTTGAGCATCTTGTAAATCTCCCTAAAGAACTCGTCCACCTCCACCTCCATGCTCTCTCCATTCAGGTCCAAGAAGGAGCCGTCCATCCACCTGAACATGTCAGACAGGGACATGAAGCAACCATACATTGTTTTAAGACCTACGTCATATTACATGACATGGAGAGGGTGACAACAACCTAAACCGCCCACAGACCTCTTCTCTGTGCGTTGCCACTTCAGCACCAGGCCAAAGAGCTTCTGGTAGGGCTCGATGCTCTCCTTGATGACTTCCACCACGGGATAAGATGACAGGTCCCATTTGTACAGAGTCTCCTCTTTGTTGATGAAGTCGATGGCCTCCTCGGCATCCTGAAGCCTCTTCTGGACTGTCCTCACGTCAGTCACATACTGATCAAAAGGTAAAGATCAGTCAAAATGTGCTGATATGTTTCTCAACTTGACAGACACTTTCCAGAGAGATTGTGCTGTTACCTGCTGCATCATGTCAAGCTCAGAGCACTCTGCAAACTCCTCCATTCTGCGTCCTAGCTTGTCTAGCTCCAGCATCAGCCTCTCTCTACGGCACAGCAGCTCCTGCTCTCCTCTCTGCTTGGCCTTCAACATCACCTGGGGAAGGACGCAGCACAAAATTATTGCTGTATGAAGAAAGAACAATGTTAGTGGAAGGGCTTAATTACCCCCTTCACTGACATGCAAAACATTTTGGGTTTGTCCAGAATGAAGGAGTATGTTACCTCATCATTGAGATCGAACACGGGGTATATCTTCTGTGGCCAGATGAGGACTGTTGAGTTCAACTCAAGGTCTTCTGGGTCAAAGATGTGGACGTCCAACAGGTAGTTCAGTCTGTGGTGGGTCTCCTGCGAGAAGATAAAAAGGTACAGAGGCTCATGATGAGTCACATACAGTTACACATTAGTTACTTCAAGTACATTATGCACTACATGAGTATTAAGACAGGATTAGGCCCTTGTTCATCAGCTACTTACCATTATTTTGGCATTGAGCTCCTCAATGCCCTTTGTCTTGGCATGACCAATGTAACCTATCATGTCAGTCATGTCCTCCGTGGTCTCAGGAACTTTCAGGGCTTTCTCCTTGATGGTCTCAAACTCGTGGCAGATCCTTGGAGGAGGCACAGAGGAGTAAGATTTGCACTGAATATGACAGTTATTTACTGTATTTATAGGGGAAGTTATCAGAAAATGGTGGATCAATCTGTGATCTTACTGCAGACTGTGCTCTCTGTGGTTGGTGATTAGTTTATCCAGGAGGATCTGAGCAAAGGTCTTAGCCGTCTTGGCCAGCCCCTGTTTCAGCTCCTCACAGTCCAGACACACCATGGCAAAGTGGGCTATCGCCGGCAGACTGACAATCTCCTTAGACAGGACACGGAACTCTTCCACTTGCTGTGGAACAAGACACAGACATACATATTACATTCATACAATATATGTAGCTATCCAACCTGACCTCTGTCTTGCTCTCCCTTACCTCAGTATACTCATCAAAAGAGTGTTCCTCCTCAACAAACTTGTCCACTATAGCTTGTGCTGTCCCATTGACCAGCCAATCGTAGTTGTCAACTGTAAAGAAGCAAAGGGGGTTTAGGACAGATTAACCTTCACTATATTAACTTTCATTCAACCCAGTAGTTGGGCTATTCAGTTCTCTTTAATTGCTAGACGCTAGAATGATAGTTTCTCACCATAGTTCTGGAAGTGTCTATCAGGCTCCTCCAGGTTCTTACGTACGGCAGACCTTATGGTGGTCTGGGCACATAGCAGGACATGGTCCGCCAGTCTGGCATCAATTACAGAGCTGTTGGCCTCGGCCAGCCAAGACTGGACAGTCTGGACTTTCTGTGAAGCCACATCAGAGATAAGAGTGATTTGTCACCAACAAGATGCAAAGCTAAACATGGACTATGATCAAATATGTATTTATTCACACTGATTATGAAGCATAGTCATTTGTGTGACTAAGAATATCCCGACACACTCGTGAGATTCATACCTGCATGGTGTTGGTGATCAGGTTCAGCATTTCTAAAACAGCTTCCTCAAGGTCCTGGAAGCTGGGGTAGAATTCCATCTTCTCATCATCAAAAGTCAAATCCATGCGAAAGAGAGGCAACCGGTAAACATTGCGCGGATCGAATAAGCTGACAAACTCTTCCATGCTTCTCTCCACTAAGGATCTTAACTGTGGAAAAACGCATTCAAAAACAGAACATCAAGATAAGCTGGACTTGCTCCTAAAAACACCAGTACTGATCAAAACCTCACCTTCTCACCTGGTTGGAGATAAGTGTGGAGACACAGTTGTAGAAAGAGTCCAGTTTCTCGGCTCTGACCTCCTGCAGCGTCTCCTTGCTGGTCAGCAGGTGGATGACCTTGGGGAACCAGGTGTTCATGATGCGCTCCTCGATCCTCTCACACTCCACTGCCAATTTGTGCTTCAGGCTCTCACAGGCTACAGGCCCCGTGGACCTTACCACAACACAAAATAAAAATACATAATAAAAACATATGTGAAGACAGAACTTGAAGAAAAACAGGTGTTTATTCTTATACTTGTGGTGCTGTGATTGAACAATTTTACCTGCAGTCAGTAAGATCAACCAATAGCAGATGTGAAAATGTCCCATAGCCGATGTCCAGGATTATCCTCATCACTGGATGAAGAATGTGTAGATTCTCCTTTATCTCCTTGCGACTCCTCACAAAACTGTCATGCCATGGTCTGGAGAAATCCAGAGCTCTGCAAATAAATATTAAGTATAATTGACAAAATATGATTAATCAAACATCCAATCAATTAATGGCACATTATTTGCCACAATATGCCAATCTGTCTCTGTGGTGGATTGATTAGTTATGAATATGCTGGTTGTGTATTGTTGAGACACTCACTTTGCTGATGGAGTTCTATGTCTTGACAGAACCGCCCCTTTCATCTGTGGTTTCTTGAGCACAGTATTCACTAAAGGGGACAGATTGTAAATACTGATGTGAGACACAATCTATGACATTAATAATATAATGCTGCTATTCAACGCAATATGGGCTACACAACTCTATGGCATCACCTGTGGCTATGTATCTGTAAAAGAATATTGGCAGACACTTTGCAGCCTGCCAAATGAATGTCTATGTAAACATGTTTTTTTATGGGCTAGTGATGTTGCAATTGCAAAGAAATGTTTTCTATGTCAAAGCCTTTTTTCATCTTCATCCATATGACTTAGCTCACTGATACAGACCGAGTGTATTCTAGAAATGACCAAAATGCTTTTAAATCAGCACTCTTAGAAAGCAATGAAATAAAATGGTAGCAACTGATAAACAAACCAGAAAGTAACAAACTGCGCACCTACTGCTTTTTTAAACTTTTGGGCATAACCCCAGGGCCGGCTCTAGCCTTTTGGGAGCTCTAAGCGAGATTTGGTTGGGGGGCCCCCTTAGTGGCGAGAAAAATTTAAGTTTTAAAGTGAATGTCCTGCAATTATACACATTTTGTCATGGGGCATAGATAAGATGTTGCAGTTTTAATGCACGTTTTCTACAGTTCTACACATTTTGCCATGCGGCAGAGACATTTTTGCCATTTTAAAGCTAATTTCCTGCAATTCTACACATTTTTCCATGGGGTGGAGATACATTTTTGCAGTTATAAAGCTAATTTCCTGCAATTCTACAAATTTTTCCATGGGGTGGAGAGAGCTTTAAAACTGCAAAAATGCATCTCCACCCCATGGAAAAATGTGTACAATTGTGTTATGACTTATGCCATGATAATGATATCTGAGTGAGAGTGACTAACAAAATCAATGGAGGCCCCCTGGAGGTCAGTGCCCCTGGGCAAAAGTTTAGATAATTTACCAATCTAAAAATTGTTAACTGACATGGCTAATTGAGTGACTGTCAGTGACTGGCTGCTGATGCACAACCACATTTTGAACTTGCACCTTGTGTATTCTACTATTCTAACTCTCAACAGTACGTTGAGACCCCGACTGAGTTCCATGAAATATCGAAGCTCTTTTGCAAAATGTAGATGTGGAGTGTGGCCCCTCTCGCTATTGAGACTGGTCGATACACAAACACTCGTTACAAATGTGTACAGTATACAAATGTGTACAGTATGTACTTTTTGTAACAACGGTTCCATTGAAACAGAAGCTCATGTCTTGCTTGACTGTGGGCTATACAGCGACATTAGGGATGATCGTTTTCATCAGCTGTCCAGCCAAAATTATAATTTTAACGGTCTAGATGAAAATAATAAATTGTGTGAACTTTTATCAGGTAACAATGTAAATGCCTGCACCAAAGCCTGCTACCTTATCCTCCGAGACATTTCTTTATAAGTGCCTAACTGTCCCTTTATTCTACTGTATTTTTTTATTTTATTTTTTTATGCATAAATGTGTATAGATGATGTAATGTAATATAGATTATGTCTGTACCATGTTTGACTATGATTGTCTTTTAGTGTCTCAAAACTCAATTTGAGTGGTCCACAATGTGGTAAAAAAAAAAATTATTATATCATTGTGGAGTGACACTTAAATAAAACATTCTAAACTCTAGACACACAGAGATAGACATGAATACACACACCTGTGTGTTTGATCATCCCGCTGAGGAAGTTTTCGCTGACCTCCATACATAGCTCCTGCAGCAGCTCGTCTCTCCCCTTACCCACACGCAGCTGGGGGGGAACGCGGGTCAGCATGGCATCTAGCCACTGCTGCTGGATGGGCACCATAGGACTGCCCTCCACACACTGCTTCAGGAACATGTAGTTCAACTGCAGGTGTGGCCACAATGGAGCGACAGTTCGGAAATAGGAAAATAGGTTGATCATTTTGTTTTTGAACACAAATAACCAGGAACATAGTATTTTGTTGGCATCTCACAAAAAACTAAAGACCCAATTTTCAGAGAACAGAAGTCAGCCAACTTACTCTACGCTTTCGATCTTCACTGCTCATCTGTGAAATAAAGAGGTGACAACTTTGAGAAATTCTGACATGCGCATTACCTGCAGCAAAACTCAAAATGTATGCAGTAAATTGACATGCAGTAGCATAACAGGTGTCTGTAAGAGATCCGCCTGAGAAACTCAATAAGAAAGCATTATTTCTCACAGTAGGGGGGAACTCTGGCTCAGGGGACATGGGAGCCACTGGTCTTAAATCCTTGGCATTCTTGTATGTCTGCATTGCACTAGCAACCCTACAAGAGTAAAGAGCACAATATGAATACTACAGCAACAAAAACTATTTGTATTTGACTCATTGTAATTGAAACAGGGGATGACTATCATGTGTATTGTCATCTTAAATATCTCAGTACTATAACAGTAAAGTGACCTTATGGCTTGACTTATTTAATAACAAAAAGTTAAAGGGACATACATGATCTTATGCAACTGCTGTTGCTGCTGTTTACTTCTCCTGTGCCTCAGCAGCTTCCTCTGCATGGTCATCTCGTCCTCTGAAGCCCCCTCCTGCAAAGGTGTGTTTGGGATGGGTGGGAGGACAGAGTACTTGTTCAGGCCATCTCCATTGGGGGGCTTGAACACCCCTGCGGAGGTAGGCATCTCAGGTACTACTGAAGGAAGACACTAACAACATTGCAAATTCTTTAGAGCCTGTTGAACCATCAGTTAACATCGCATTTCAGTTTTAAACACTGCCAATGCATTGCTTCTGCCATAATTGTTTTATTTAAACAAATTGCTAAAGTAATTTCTTACGTTAATAAGCACTTGCTTTGCTTGCTAATGCTAGCTGTGTAACTTGGAAGTTTAAGTTGTTGGTGTGGCTAGCTAGTAATGCTAGTTTGAAGTATTGATGAGTTAATAATAGCTAACTATAATCGCGAGTTGATTTCAAATTAAATGTAAAAATGGCAACATTTGCATGTAATGTGCATAACTTACCCCTGCTCTCTTTTGCTAATACTTGTTTGCAACTCCTGCCTATGTAGAATTCACAGTTGCTTGAAAGTGGAGGAGGAAAAACAATCCCGTTGCCATAGCAACAGTCAACAAATGTGAATACCACTACTTCACATTTTATTCATTTAGCAGACGCTCTTATCCAGAGCGACTAACAGTTAGTGAGTGCATACATTTTTTTTCATACTACTTGATGCCCAGCACACTGCTGCTGCTGATTGCAGAATGCACATTTTCTCAGTGTGTAGCATTATCATGCATTGCAATTTATGCATGTGGGGACATTTAGGTACATAAAATAATAGTTTGCAACAATACCAATATGCCACCATGTGTTTGTTTTTTCTGACAGTTTTCTTTTTGCATTTTGATGTGTGTATTTTTGTAATTCTGGGCTCATTAGTAAGTGACCTTAGTCTCAATATGAATTCCTGATAAAATAAAGGTTAAATAAAAAATAAAAATGTAATCAAGCAACTGGTGGTCAGCTCCTGAGTGGCGCAGTGGTCTAAGGCACTCCATCGCAGTGCTAACTGTGCCACTAGAGATCCTGGTTCGAATCCAGGCTCTGTCGCAGCCGGCCGCGACCGGGAGACTCATGGGCGGCGCACAATTGGCCCAGCGTCGTCCAGGGTAGGGGAGGGAATGGCCTTCAGGTATGTAGCGCAGTTGATAGAGCATGGCGTTTGCAACGCCAGGGTTGTGGGTTCGATTCCCACGGGGGGCCAGTATAAAAAAGAATATAAAAAAGAATAATAATAATAAAATAAATGTATTCACCAACTGTAAGTCGCTCTGGATAAGAGCGTCTGCTAAATGACTAAAATGTAAATGGTGTCTATCCAGTTCAGCTTCCTTTATACTTTTGTCTACTTCATTTAATGCAAACCTATAAACCCTATAGAAAATATTAAAAAGTCTAAGGCATGTCACACTTTTTAGAATTCATATCCTCATAAACACCTACAAAATGGACAGACACATCAAAAGTCATTTTCCACTTTTTATTGTTTGAGTGTATACATTCTATGATCGAGGTCTTTCTTTCTTGCCTTTGTAAAGGGCCAGTAGTGAGACATTAGCTACTTTGACCACCTTGAAGCGGACACCAGGAATATCACCAACGGCATGCCCCTTCCGACCAAATCCTGCCACCAACACCTCATCGTTTTCCTGTTGAGAGAGGAGGATGAGGATTTGAAAACAGTGGTTATGATAAAAAGCCTAACAATTATGTGTAGGTAGTCCAAAGATGACAGAGTCCAAAGATCAGATGACAAATTCATAATAAAACAAAAGTATATATGGATCATCTTGAGAAAATAAAATTGCCATTTGATGAGTAACTTGAAATAGAGAGCTGTGGTGAGTAATGGAAAAGTATTTGCAGGTAGATGTCTTACCTCAATGAAGTTCAAACAGCCGTCATTGGGGACGAAAGCTGTGATCTTTTTGCCATTTTTGATGAGTTGCACCCTGACACACTTCCTGATGGCAGAGTTGGGCTGCTTAGCTTCAACACCCCTAGGGAGAAGGAGAGATGGTTTTGAGCTATCTAATTGTGGAAGCCAAAACATACAGTATGATGTAACCGGCTACATTACAGTGTTGTCTTACACTTTCTCAAGCACGATGCCTTTAGCGTGAGATGCCCCTCCGAATGGGTTAGCCTTTAGGGCAGTGCCCAGGTGGGCCTTCTTATACTGCTTGTCATGCCATCTCTGCTCCCTGCGATGGTTACGCAGTTTCCTGGCTGTACGCAGACCCCGGCACTTGCCTGGGGAAAGAGGAGCCAAAATGGACAGTATGAAGTACTAGGCCAATGTACTGCCCTAGACTGACTTTGATAGCTAATAATATTATCAATGCATGCTTCTTCTACAGGTCATTTGTGCGCCAATGTGGGAATTGGCTATGTTGAACCGCAGTGGTAGGTAGTGACTAGAATGGCCATGGATTCCATGGCTATGTGGCTAGAAGAAAACAATCGGTTTGATAATATAATAATAATAATAATAATAATAATAATATGCCATTTAGCAGACGCTTTTCTCCAAAGCGACTTAGTCATGCGTGCATACATTTTTACGTATGGGTGGTCCCGGCGACCGAACCCACTACCCTGACGTTACAAGCGCCATGCTCTACCAATTGAGCTACAAAGATACAAAAATAGCAGCTGCTGGTATCAATACACCACAAGTATACAATTGAACCATATTTCTTCAGTCATGCACAATAATAAGGCCGGGAATATCTAGTGGTCTGTGAATGTAAGGACTGCATCATTATCTGGCGTGCTCACGGCATCGCAGAGGCAAGGAGGGAAAGCAGCTGCCTAGAAGAGGCCAGATAAGCCAAGGAACACCCTACAACAATTATGTATCCTTCATGGACACTGAAAGGGAGTTTTGGTAATGTAGCTGACGTTAGCTAGCTGACATCTCTAACCCACTAGCTATCCATTTTCATATCATACATTTATTTCTCACATGTGGCAGCTGGCTACATGTGCTGGTGCTGCCGACTTTCGTATAGTATAATACACGACAATCATCTCTACATTGTGTGATAAAATATCATATTGTGACTACTGTCAGACAGCTTTTGTGTGTTAGCTCAATCAAATAAACGAATTATTCTAATGTGAATATTGGACTCACCCATTGCTTCAAGGTCTGAGTACTGAAAAAAAGCCGAACGCACGATTCTTACCACATGACCCAAGCGTCATCGCAGTTTGTAACCAATCATTTTGGGGGAATCAATGAAATCCCACGTTCATGGCCTTCATGACGAAGTCTCGTAAGCTTTCCTGGTATCTTGATTGCTACGGCTGAATAGTTGCAGCAAAATATCAGGTACAGTATTTAAAATAATATATTTGCTTTTCCAAAATACAGTTGACTCGTACGAATAGATATTCGCGTTACTAAACTGACCTTGTAGTTATTTCTGTCTGGTACAAATGTATTGAGGTTAAATAGATGGCGTTGTTTTTGCTTGACAGCGGCCGAGTTTCAGGCTTCAATGTTGTGGTTTTCATCGAAGGCCGCAGTAAAATTATTGAGCTTCCGGCTTATACCAAATGACACTCACTTAGCTATCCCCTAGGTTATTTACGAATACTTGATTGACGTAAAGATGACGTCCATGGCAATCTCATACAACAATTTAACAGCATGGTCGTTATTCTGTTTGTTTTTTAACCATGCTTTCATGTGCTATATGATAAGGCATGTTGAACCTATAATATTACACTGTACTGTACAGCTGACACACCCACTACTTCAATCCATAGTAGTTAACTGCAGTGTTCAACATTCAGCCTTAGTTTTAGCCAAATTACAATGAACATAGCAATGATTGGGGGGAAACGACATGTTTTTTGTAGAACAATTCATGATGAGTTATGGTGAAAAGCCTGAGGACATAACGAGAGAAGAGTGGATGGAGAAACTCAACAATGTCCACATTCAGAGGGCCGACATGAACAGGCTCATCATGAACTACCTGGTGACAGGTACAGTAGACCACACACACAGACATACCATTAAATACCTGGTAACAGGTACACATTGGTTTGCCTGATCTAAATATCTTTGGTTTGAACAGAGGGGTTTAAGGAGGCAGCTGAGAAGTTCCGTATGGAGTCTGGGATTGAGCCCAGTGTGGACCTGGATTCTCTGGACGAGAGGATAAAGATCCGGGAGATGATCCTGAAGGGACAGATACAGGAGGCCATCGCACTCATCAACAGCATGCACCCAGAACTGCTCGACACAAACCGCTACCTGTACTTTCACCTACAGGTAAAAAGCAGATTGCCTCTTCCTTTATAATTCTTCTGTCAGTCTTATTTTGTGTGCTGTTTCCTTCATTCATTGCCATCTGTTCCTCTCCCTATCCTTTTTGTCTCCTTACCCCCTCCACCGTTTTTTGTCCATCTTCCTTTTCCTCCCATGACCGTCCCTGCATACTGCTCTTCCCCTCTGCAGCAGCAGCACCTGATTGAGCTGATCCGTCTGAGGGAGACTGAGGCAGCACTAGAGTTTGCTCAGTCCCAGCTGGCAGAGCAGGGGGAGGAGAGCAGAGAGTGTCTGACAGAGATGGAGAGAACCCTGGCCCTGCTGGCCTTTGACAACCCTGAGGAGTCGCCCTTCGGAGACCTCCTCAACACGATGCAGAGGCAGAAGGTGTGTTTATTCTCACTTATCATAATCCAGAAATAGATAATAACATGCATATTGCTCTGTAATTGCACGTTTCTACTACTATTTCAGTATTTTGTCAGTACATGAACTTTGGTTTTGACTAGATGGGATAGTGCTTTTGTCAGATGTGACTTTTCGTAGTAGCTTATGAGAATTTACGTGGCAGGTTAGGATAATTCATTTAGCAGATTAGGAGAATTAAGTTAAATTTAGGAAAAGGGTTAGTTAGGGTTAGCTAAAATCCACAAAAATGCAACTTTTGACGTTACTTTGACAAAAGCTGTATCCCTTCTAACCATACATTTTGACCTTTACATGACGCTGATTTAATATAACTCCTGTCCACTGTGTGCTTCCTGAAGGTGTGGAGTGAAGTGAACCAGTCTGTGCTGGACTACGAAAACAGAGAGTCGACGCCCAAACTGGCCAAGCTCCTCAAACTGCTCCTGTGGGCTCAGAACGAACTCGACCAAAAGAAAGTCAAGTACCCCAAAATGACAGACCTCAGCAAGGGCACGATCGAGGACCCAAAGTGAGAGCACACCAGGCTGTGTATGCTGGTGGAAAATAAATGGACTCCCCTCCTACCTATTTATACTCTGACAGAGACTGACTGAAACAATCTTTTTTCTTTCTTTGTGTGGGTTGCTTTTTGGGAGACTTTGATAATGTGGACTGTGGAACTGGATAGTTTGTATTTTAAAGTGACTTGCTGCCTGAAACTTCAATATCCAAAATATAAACCCTTGTATTTTAATGAAGTAAAATTATAAGACTTTTGTTTCATGTCTGCAATAGTTGTGTATGAACATTTCCTTTTAGCATATTTCACAGTTACACTTTTTGTTTTCTGTCTACTGGCAGGGAAAGTTAGCCGTCTTTGCAAATGGATGGTGTGTTAAAGCCTAAATTAGGCTCTTGGGACTATAATGTGTCAACCTATAAACAGAAATGAATGAGGGTGTGGTGTTGGGGTAGAACGATTGGTTCCCATTGCTGTGGTCCGCTGTCACAATTACAGTATATTTTGTTTTTCTGAACAAAAAACATGCACATTTCAGTTTCTCATGAATGCTAGGGTAGGGGCCAAAGCTGGGTACTGACTGTGAATGCTTCTAAGCTGACAATGCCCTGTAATGTTGTCAGGGTTTTACTGCAACCTTAGTTTTCATCCTGTTATCTTGAAACAACAAGACAATAATGTGAATACATACAGAGACATAAATTCAGTTCAAGTTGACAGTTTTGCAACTGGATTATTTACATGTATGGAATAAAATACTATTTTGGAACACGATATGCCTAGGTTGTTCTTCATTATATTTGCACCTCCCTCTGCAACTGGATCCTGGACTTCCTGACGGGCCGCCCCCAGGTGGTAAGAGTAGGTAACAACACCACGCTGATCCTCAACACGGGGTCCCCTCAGGGGTGCGTGCTCAGTCCCCTCCTGTACTCCCTGTTGATCCATGACTGCATGGCCAGGCACGACTCCAACGCCATTAAGTTTGCCAACGACACACAGTGGTAGGCCTGAACACCGACAATGATGAGACAGCCTATAGGGAGGAGGTCAGAGACCTGGCCGTGTGGTGCCAGGATAACAACCTCTCCCTCAACACGATCAAGACAAAGGAGATGATTGTGGACTACAGGAAAAGAAGGACCAAGCACGCCCCCATTCTCATCGACAGGGCTGTAGTGGAGCAGGTTGAGAGCTTCAAGTTCCTTGGTGTCCACATCACCAACAAACTACCATGGTCCAAACACACCAAGACAGTCGTGAAGAGGGCACGACCAATCCTATTCCAAGTCTAGGTCCAAAAGGATCTTAACAGCTTCTACCCCCAAGCCATAAGATTCCTGAACAGCTAATGAAATGGCTACCCTTACTATTTGCGTTATCGTCGTCGCGTCCGTCCGTCCCCCCTCCCCCTCCCCTCCCGCTACTATCTGTTTATTATGCATATTTGTACATATTACCTAAATTACCTCGACTAACCGGTGCCTCGCACATTGACTCTGTACGGGTACCCTCGCTACTGTTATTTTTACTGTTATTTCACTGCTTTTATTTTCTACTTATCTATTGTTTACTTAACACTTATTTTTCTTAAAACTGCATTGTTGGTTAAGGGCTTGTAAATAAGCATTTCACTGTTGTATTCGGCGCATGTGACAAATAAGATTTGATTAGATATTGTGTTATTCAGTCTTGTCAGTATGCTATTTAACCGATAGCTTACTTTCTCAGAGGATGGAAATAGTAGTTTAGACACCAACGTCTACAGGAATCTCACTTTTTTCATCTGGTTGCAGGTTATTATATAACGGTGCCGACTGCGGATGCTTGGTAGTTGGTACCTCATCCAGCCTAGGGCAGAGGAACCAACTCTGTGAAGATGTTACGCAGCATCACCGGCTGTCCTATGAGCAAGGATGACAACAACACCAACCACATCGCAACAGCGGACCGTCAGACATGCTTTTGCTAAGGACAGTACGGAGTTGACTAACATTATGTGGTATCCTAGGCAAAATTGGTCTGGGACGTGAATAGTTTTTTCTCTCTTTTTTTGTGCTGTGCAATCCGATCGGGTATCATTCAGGGTAGAATATAATGTCTAGAATATTGCACAGTCATGATGGAGCGCTAGAACCGGATGGCGATGCCGCGGGTAAAGAAGACCGGGCATTTTCACTCTGAACAAATTCATGCTGTGTTTGAAAAGGACTGAGTCGCTTCTTTAATGCAGCTTCCTGATATAACCTACTGTTGGCAGGAAGAACTGCGTGGCTGAAAAAAAAACTGACACGTGGATTTATCGTCAAACTCCAGGCGATCCGTCCTTAATCACCCGTGCACTTTTTATCACACGGCAGTAACATTATGGATTGGCCTACGCGTTAATCGAAAGGAAATGATACATCGGTATCATCGCGAACATCAAACAATAGTTTATTTTTGTCGACTTTTCTCACTCATTCCATAGCCTTACTGCGCTGAATTGTGTAGTGCAGGACACAGCAAATCAAATCGTATACCTCTCTCGTTGAATGGCAATTCTGCAAAAACATGGAAAGAACTCTAGTCCAGATTTGGTCTGCCTCAAAGAAAACCCCCCAGACAAAATCGGGGTCGCTGGAGGTCATCAGAAGAAGTTGAGTGAACCGAATACGAACTGGCCAAGGTGAGTTTACGAAGATTTTTCAGTAGCCAATCTCACGTTTTTCCCACAGTCTAGAAGTGTTCATTTTAAAATAAAATTACCATAATGAAACGACGGACCCTTTATTCATATGTGTTTAACCACACATAATAATATAATGTATGAGAGATTGTTAGTTCCTTATTTTGCAAATGCCATACAAGTTTGCAATGATTCGAGCTCCTCTGTAGTTTACTGAAATGTGTTGGCATTGGTTAATGACATTTTCAGAACATCTTCTCTCCCTTGACATAAGAAAACATAAAGTACCACTCATACACATGTAGCTTTGTTTTCGATACTTTGTTTCTACTTTTGAGTCCAAATGTAACCATATGAAATGTATTTATTCCCAAATAAATACTTGACTTTCTTATTAATCAGATGCCTGTCAGCTGGTGGTCTCAAGGTTATTTTAAAGCTACTAAACTGCACACACACAGCCTTGGGGAATTTAAAAGCTTCTAGGTCTAGTAAGTCATATAGTCAGGCATTCATAGAATTGTCATAGAAGGCATGATAGTTGGCAAGCCAAAGCAAAGATTAGGCTAAGAATTCAGCCAGATTCACTCAAATAATTATAATATAATGAGATTTAGGCCTAACCTATCTAGTTAACACAATTTAGCGCAGATCAAATTTAGACGTTTAAAGTTCTGTGAAAACGCCTAGTTGGTTTAGTTCCAATTTGCCATTTACAAGAAAAAAGCAGAATAAATGCACAGATGTTGGTTTTACTGAGAATATCACACCCACTCTTACTCACACCCACACATATTCTCATTTACACACACCAAACACATTAATGTACGCCTCACACACATCCCTGTCCTCTGCTAGTCACACTTGTGCCCTCTCTCCCTGCTATGCAGACCCCTGGCGCGGGTATGGACGGTGGTGCTACTGCTGGGGACCTGTCTGCTGTACTGCGCCCGCGTGGCCATGCCCATCTGTGCCGTCAGCATGGCGGAGAAGTTCAACTGGACCAAGAGGGATCAGGGCATGGTGCTGGGCAGCTTCTTCTGGGGCTACTGCTTCACACAGGTTCTCGGAGGCTACGTCAGCGACAGGTGGGCAACGAGAGGAGAGGATTATACTTTGTCTGTTTGCTCATAAATTTGCACATAAATTGCCTGTTTGCACAACCTGCAACTGCTCTCACTACATACAATATCTAGAATAAAAAGGGTTTATTGCATTACATTTATTCATTTTTAAACACAGATGGACAATGGGATGCTATGAGACCTGCAATCTGAGAATTAAATAGCCTAATACTTTGTCTGTTTTACACATTCGTTTGGGATTTTCAAGTGAACAAAAAGGAGAGCAGTTGTTGATAATATCAATCAAAAATCTATCCGCTTTATTACAATAATTCAGGGAGAATCCCTCCAGAGCAGAAGCAAAAAAAAAGGTAACAGGCCTCTTGGAGACTGGCCCTTTATATTCTAATCAGACAGTACCAAATGTTCTGTAAACATCAGGCTGAAAGGCTTGTACAAAGTCAAAACAATAGACTGTGACTTTGCCAGCTGCTACAGGGTCACAGTGTTCATAATGGAATCAAAACAATAATAATCAGTGTGTCCTTGTGCCTTCAGTAGCTCTGGCGTCAGTCACTATCAAATGACATGAGAACAATCAGGTAACATTTAGTATCAAGTCGAGTGACTATCAACCTGTAAACAAATGTGTCACAAATAGAAAACTGAAATCATGTGTATTACAGAAAGGGGAAACATAAATATGCTAAGCATTGTGTTAAGTAATCACACACATCACTGCACAGCTCTTTTCAGGTCTCTCCAGAGATGTTAGATCGGGCTTAAGTCCGGGCTCTGGCTGGGCCACTCAAGGACATTCAGAGACTTGTCCCCAAGCCACTGCTCCGTTGTCTTGGCTGTGTGCTTAGGGTCATTGTCCTGTTGGAAGGTGAACCTTCACCCCAGTCTGAGGTCCTGAGCACTCTGGAGCAGGTTTTCATCAAGGATCTCTCTGTACTTTGCTCCGTTCATCTTTCCCTCAATCCTGACTAGTCTCCCAGTCCCTGCCGCTGAAAAACATCCACACAGCATGATGCTGCTGCCACCACCATGCTTCACCATAGGGATGGTGCCAGCTTTCCTCCAGATGTGACGCTTGGCATTCAGGCCAAAGAGTTCAATCTTGGTTTCATCAGACCAGAGAATCTTGTTTCTCATGGTCTGAGAGTCCTTTAGGTGCCTTTTGGCAAGCTCCAAGTGGGCTGTCATGTGCCTTTTACTGAGGAGTTGCTTCCGTCTGGCCACTCTACCATAAAGGTACTGCAGAGATGGTTGTCCTTCTGGAAGGTTCTCCCATCACCACAGAGGAACTCTGGAGCTCTGTCAGAGTGACCGTCGGGTTCTTGGTCACCTCCCTGACCTAGGCCCTTCTCCCCCGATTGTTCAGTTTGGCCGGGCGGCCAGTTCTAGGAAGAGTCTTGGTGGTTCCAAACTTCTTCCATTTAAGAATGATGGAGGCCACTGTGTTCTTGGGGACCTTCAATGCTGCAGAAATGTTTTTGTACCCTTCCCCAGATCTGTGCCTCGACACAATCCTGTCTCGGAGCTCTACGGACAAATCCTTCGACCTCATGGCTTGTTTTTTGCTCTGACATGCACTGTCAACTGTGAGAAAATATATAGACAGGTGTTTGCCTTTCCAAATCATGTCCAATCAAATGAATTTACCACAGGTGGACTCCAATCAAGTTGTATAAACATCTCAAGGATGATCAATGGAAACAGGATGCACCTGAGCTCAATTTCAAGTCTCATAGCAAAGGGTCTGAATACTTATGTAAATAAGGTATTTCTGTTTTAGAAAATCAATTTGCAAAAATTTCAAAACCTTTTTTCGCTTTGTCATAAAAAATATATATATTTTAGAGTACGGCTGTAACGTAACAAATTGTGGAAAAACGGTAGGGGTCTGAATACTTTCCGAATGCACTGTCAGGGACAAAGTTGTGGAGAAGTACGGAGCAACGGTAGGGGTCTGAATACTTTCCGAATGCACTGATATATATAGTATAGTATTCAGACCCCTACCGTTTTTCCACATTTTGTTACGTTACAGCCTTACTCTAAAATAGATTTTTTAAAACAAAAAACCCCCCACAATACTCCCATAATGACAAAGCGAAAAAAGGTTTTGACATTTTTGCAAATTGATTTTCTAAAATCAATATTTTATATATATATATATATATCAGTCGTGGTCAAAAGTTTTGAGAACGACACAAATATAAATTTTCACAAAGTCTGCTGCCTCAGTTTTTATGATGCAATTTGCATATACTCCAGAAGGTTATGAAGAGTGATCAGATGAATTGCAATTAATTGCAAAGTCCCTCTTTCCCATGAAAAAAAAACATATATATATATATATATATATATATATATATATATATATATATATATATATATATATACTGCTCAAAAAAATAAAGGGAACACTAAAATAACACATCCTAGATCTGAATGAATAAAATAATCTTATTAAATACTTTTTTCTTTACATAGTTGAATGTGCTGACAACAAAATCACACAAATTATCAATGGAAATCAAATTTATCAACCCATGGAGGTCTGGATTTGGAGTCACCCTCAAAATTAAAGTGGAAAACTACACTACAGGCTGATCCAACTTTGATGTAATGTCCTTAAAACAAGTCAAAATGAGGCTCAGTAGTGTGTGTGGCCTCCACGTGCCTGTATGACCTCCCTAGAACGCCTGGGCATGCTCCTGATGAGGTGGCGGATGGTCTCCTGAGGGATCTCCTCCCAGACCTGGACTAAAGCATCCGCCAACTCCTGGACAGTCTGTGGTGCAATGTGGCGTTGGTGGATGGAGCGAGACATGATGTCCCAGATGTGCTCAATTGGATTCAGGTCTGGGGAACGGGCGGGCCATTCCATAGCATCAATACCTTCCTCTTGCAGGAACTGCTGACACACTCCAGCCACATGAGGTCTAGCATTGTCTTGCATTAGGAGGAACCCAGGGCCAATCGCACCAGCATATGGTCTCACAAGGGGTCTGAGGATCTCATCTCGGTACCTAATGGCAGTCAGGCTACCTCTGGCGAGCACATGGAGGGCTGTGCGGCCCCCCAAAGAAATGCCACCCCACACCATGACTGACACACCTCCAAACCGGTCATGCTGGAGGATGTTGCAGGCAGCAGAACGTTCTCCACGGCGTCTCCAGACTCTGTCACGTGCTCAGTGTGAACCTGCTTTCATCTGTGAAGAGCACAGGGCGCCAGTGGCGAATTTGCCAATCTTGGTGTTCTCTGACAAATGCCAAACGTCCTGCACGGTGTTGGGCTGTAAGCACAACCCCCACCTGTGGACTTCGGGCCCTCATACCACCCTCATGGAGTCTGTTTCTGACCGTTTGAGCAGACACATGCACATTTGTGGCCTGCTGGAGGTCATTTTGCAGGGCTCTGGCAGTGCTCCTCCTGCTCCTCCTTGCACAAAGGCGGAGGTAGCAGTCCTGCTGCTAGGTTGTTGCCCTCCTACGGCCTCCTCCACGTCTCCTGATGTACTGGCCTGTCTCCTGGTAGCGCCTCCATGCTCTGGACACTACACTGACAGACACAGCAAACCTTCTTGCCACAGCTCGCATTGATGTGCCATCCTGGATGAGCTGCACTACCTGAGCCACTTGTGTGGGTTGTAGACTCCGTCTCATGCTACCACTAGAGTGAAAGCACCGCCAGCATTCAAAAGTGACCAAAACATCAGCCAGGAAGCATAGGAACTGAGAAGTGGTCTGTGGTCACCACCTGCAAAACCAGTCCTTTATTGGGGGTGTCTTGCTAATTGCCTATAATTTCCACCTGTTGTCTATTCCATTTGCACAACAGCATGTGACATTTATTGTCAATCAGTGTTGCTTCCTAAGTGGACAGTTTGATTTCACAGAAGTGTGATTGACATGGAGTTACATTGTGTTGTTTAAGTGTTCCCTTTATTTTTTTGAGCAGTGTATATATATATACACACACACACACACACACACACATACATACATACATGTACATATGTAATTTTTTTATAATGGATTTAATGGTGCTCCGTACTTCTCCACAACTTTGTCCCTGACCTGTTTGGAGAGCTCCTTGTTCTTCATGGTGCTGCTTGCTTGGTGGTGCCCCTTGTTTAGTGGTGTTGCAGACTCTGGGACCTTTTAGAACAGGTGTGTGTATATATATATACTGAGATCATGTGATAGATCATGTGACACTTTGATTGCACACAGGTGGCCTTTATTTAAGGTTATTGGTTGGGCCCAGATCTTATTTAGGGCCTTCATAGCAAAGGGGGTGAATACATACAGTGGGGAGAACAAGTATTTGATACACTGCCGATTTTGCAGGTTTTCCTACTTACAAAGCATGTAGAGGTCTGTAATTGTTATCATAGGTACACTTCAACTGTGAGAGACGGAATCTAAAACAAAAATCCAGAAAATCACATTGTTAATGCATTCATTTGCATTTTATTGCATGACATAAGTATTTGATACATCAGAAAAGCAGAACTTAATATTTGGTACAGAAACCTTTGTTTGCAATTACAGTGATCATACGTTTCCTGTAGGTCTTGACCAGGTTTGCACACACTGCAGCAGGGATTTTGGCCCTCTCCTCCATACAGACCTTCAGGTTTCGGGGCTGTCGCTGGGCAATACGGACTTTCAGCTCCCTCCAAAGATTTTCTATTGGGTTCAGGTCTGGAGACTGGCTAGGCCACTCCAGGACCTTGAGATGCTTCTTACGGAGCCACTCCTTAGTTGCCCTGGCTGTGTGTTTTGGGTCGTTGTCATGCTGGAAGACCCAGCCATGACCCATCTTCAATGCTCTTACTGATGGAAGGAGGTTGTTGGCCAAGATCTCGCGATACATGGCCCCATCCATCCTCCCCTCAATACGGTGCAGTCGTCCTGTCCCCTTTGCAGAAAAGCATCCCTAAAGAATGATGTTTCCACCTCCATGCTTCTCGGTTGGGATGGTGTTCTTGGGGTTGTACTCATCCTTCTTCTTCCTCCAAACACGGCGAGTGGAGTTTAGACCAAAAAG